CATCCCTCTCCACTCATGGCACACCTTTCCCACCAGCACACCAGCAGCATGTGTTCACGTGCCAAACAGCCTCCCCTTGCCAACCTCAATCCTGGTGCTTATCAAGATGCAGAGATTAGCGAGGCATAGGGTTTCTTTCCTTGAGCCAAAAGGCTGCTCTGCAAAGGGTTATTCTCAGCACGGAATGAGCTGCTGGCAACAGGGCACTAATTCATTGCCTTCTTTCTCCTGTTAACATTCAGCACATCAGCTGTGTGGTGTCCCTTTCAGGAGCTGGCAGAACCCACCAACCATGGAAAACCATTTTTTCTCACTTTTACAACTGATTCACTGCTCTCTCCTGGGCTGCTGTACAAGAACCGTCTCACCCGTTCGGGTTCAGTTACGTAGAAAATGTGTTGCCGAGGAGAAATACTGAGCTTAGCTGGGGCTGGGTTGCTTTAAGAGCAGAAGCACTGAAGGGCAGCCAGGTGGCACAGCGTTAGCTGGGGCAGGACCCTGAGGGAGCTGCTCCATCCTCTGAGCTGGGATGGGAGAGAGCCACACGCTTCCATGCTGCACCAGGAGACCCTGCAGCACTGAGTGCCCACAGGCACTCCTCATCCTTCCACTGTTTCACTCTGCCCTAGAAAAGTTTGGGACAAGAAGATCTTACAATGACTCCATATTAAAAAAATAACGCACAGATATTACATATGCACTCTCTCCCTCCTACATACCATGGTAAACCAACGGTGGACAGCACCAACAACATCCAACAGATGGCCAGTATTATAGATCCAGGAGAGAAGCTGGCACACAAGCCCATGATACCTCCTCCTGCAAGGTAACCATTGTGTTGTTCAGCTGGGATGGTGCAGCACGGAGCCCACAGCTCTCCATGTGCAGTCCCTGCCAGAATCCCTGGGCTGCAGCACGGTGTTATCTGGCAGCACGACCCCCTCCCCAGCCCTTTCCCTGTGTGCAGCTGAAGAAAAGCAGGACGGAATGTTTCACGTCCCAGAATGAACCATTCGTGCACAAAGACTGCATTTTAACCTCTTCTGGGCAGTAGTTTGTGGGGGGGGAAAAGAAAAAAAGAAACAAAAATAGAAAAAAAAATAGGGAGCAGGAAAAAGGCAGAGAATATTAACAACCCAGCCCAGAAAGAACAGGTTGTATAGGCTTAGCTTGGCAGAAAGCAAGTCCTGTGTATTTCTTCTTTCCTGCCACCATGGACTTCCCCTATTTTTGCATCATCTGCTGCACAGAGCACAGGCTGGGTGCATTTTGCCTCCTGACATGCTCACTCTGCTTAACCCCCTCCTTCCTGCAGCCCCAGACATTGGGTGGCTGCAGCCTCATTGGGTCCCTATGCATGCCTTGCTCCAGGGACACCGCTAAGCTCACCGACAGCTGTGTAAAGGCTTCGTTGTTAGGATATACCTGATGACTGAGCTTCAGTCCCTTGATGGGAGCACTCAAGGAGCACAAGGCTATTTATGACTATATTGTTTCAAATGACTGCCGGGGAGACTGGAGTTCCTGCTGCTGGAGAGGAGTATCAGCATCCCAGGGCCGCCTGAACTAACTTCTGATAGGAGGAAGCAGAGATGGTCTTAGAGTAGTGTGCAGAGGCCTGAAGATGATCAGCTCCTCCCTGACAGCTCCCGAGGAACAAAAGGAGGGGTAGGACGTGCCTAAATATTGACACAGTGGGTTGCACAATGATGAGAGTTATTTCTGTCAAAAACATCCATGTGGCAAAGCTGAGAGGGTCGTGACCTTAGTTAGAATTTCATTGCGGTGTGTGAGGCAGCCACCATCCTTAATTCAATTCAACACCTCATAGAGGTGATGCTCTGGTTCAAAACGGAAGGCAATGGCTCTTTAGGATGTTTCTCTGCTCTGGATGGATGATCTGTGATAGCGCTGGGGTTGAGTGATGTACACAGACTGGTGAGCACAGATGTGGCAAACACTGGGAGGCAGGAGAAGACTCGTGGGCAGTGATTTACCCTCAAGCAGCAGCAGGGTGACAGTGTGGTTTTGTGCACCAGCAGTACGTGATGAGCTCTCTGTCATCTCAAAGTAGGCAGGATGTATCCAAACAAAACCGCTCTGAATGAGGAAACAAAGACAATGCCTGGGATTTGGGGGAGGATCAAGCAAGATCCGGAGTCAACAAGGCTATCCTGTGATACCCAGCGGCTCCTATGGGCTGCCCAAACATCCCTTCTCATGGCCACCAGCACCAGCACAGCCCACATGGGCACACAGCACACACACAAAGGGCACGCAAAAATCTGTGAGTGAAGCAGCCCAGTTAAAAGCAGCCTATTTACACAGATCACCTGCCAGTTGCACTTGGTCTTGTGCTGTCTGCTGGTGCTTTCCCACATTTTCCTTCTCCTCTCACCCTCCTGCTTGAGTAAGCCTAATTTTTTTCATGCATCTGTTGGAATCAGGGATCTCTCTGAGTGCCAGACAGCAGGATTCCACTTTCCTACTGATTTCCTTTCCTATTGTCTGCTTCCACGCTGCTGTTTGCTACCAGGCTGCCCGCCAACCGGAGCAGAGCTGGACGTGGGCCTCCACCAGCCCCAGACCTGCCCCTGTGGTAAGGCTGCACCTATGGAGAACAAAAGGAGTTTGTTGAGTACTGCGATGCACAGCAATCTCTGCGTTGTGCACTTGGAGTTGGATACCCTGTCCCCTGTCGCTTGTGCACCCCAAATGAGCAAACACCTCCTCTGGCTGATGTCACCTCGCCATTAAATCAGACCAAACTAGAGGGCAAGAGAGCAGAAGTATCCACAGACATTATCATGGGCACGGACAGGACACAAAGCACGAATTCTGTTTCTTCAGCTGAAGATCCAGGGGAAGAGCAGCTCTCAGCCAGGACTCCAGCCGAGGCCTTAGCAGACAGGCAAGAGTTGCTCTGGCCTGGCCACACATCATCCAGGGAGCATGGATGTGTACAAGGAGTCCTCAGAAACCAAAACAGAAATGGCGGAGCTGAAGATCAAAGCAACAAACTGCTGTAAAACCCAAATTGCCAACGGCAACCAAAGTCCATCACTGACTCATTGTAACCTTGCAGTCACCTTCCTTCTTTCTGCCTTTCCAAGATCTTACACTCCAGCAACTGATCCAATGTCATTCCCAAAGCCCATCATCCAAGCACATGGAAAGCATGGACGCTGTTTATGACAGTGGGAAGAGGAAGAGCCATTCCAGGTGAAGAGCTGCCAGACCAGGGCTCGGGTGAAAGATGAGGTACTGCATACTGCGTCAGCTCCTTCTTCTGCTGGAGATGGATTCATATCCCCACTCTTAGGTCCTTCCTGCAAAGGACCATGCTGCAGAATTTGGCAGAACCATTTTCCCTCAGTCCTCTTCAATCCTATCCAGTACAAAGATATTGCTGTGAGGCAGGAGCGTTGTGCGTGGTCAGGATGAAACAGCAAATGGAGCCAAAAGAGCAGCCAGGCCAAGACCTTGGCACTCAGTACAGGGCTCTGCAAGCTGTGATGGTGCACAACTCCAGCTGTGCCACCTACAGCCGAGACATTTTCACAACAGCGTTCTGGCAAGGCCAGACTTATCCTTAACCTCCCTAGGCCACTAGCAGAGGCTCAGACCAAGAAGTTCTGGTCCTAATCAAAGTATAACAACTCCTGCTAACTATAAACAGACAGATATAGAAAGAAGACTATCCCAACCCACAGAGAATGAGAGTTTGGCTCTCTATTTTTTAAATAAGCCTTTTCCACTGTTATAATTTTTAAAAACAGGAACAAAAATCACTTCTGTTACAGTTCCAAAATTATTCTAGAAGCTTCAAAATGTGAAGAAATCTTTATTGTTAGCAGAATGCTCCTTAGAGTATTAACACTGTTTTATACATTGCAGTAATTCCAAGATATTTACAGCAGCAATAGTAATCAAAATAAAAAAGTCCTGATGATGATTTACTGCACTTTAAAGCTGTTTGTCCTGAAAGTGAGGAGATTGCACACTACTAAATGAAACAACAGAACTCATCCTCATGGACAGACCTAAACACAGCACAGCCTGCACAGCTCTGCCCCTGTTTGTATGCTGTGCCATATCTGGCTTCTGCCTTTCGGTGTAATGACGCGAACAGCACCTACCTGGGATCCAAGTCTTCCCTACAAAGACAACAGCTATGTCTGCTACAGCCATTTGCCTGCTCCAACCCATAATGCCAAATACAGTCTTCACTGGTGAAATCCAAGATGAGGCTTAAGGGAGTACACAGGGGTTGGGAAGTTTGACCTGTCCAGGAGATGAGCTCTTGGGGAACAGAAATCAGGTGCAGGAAGGACTTATGTGTGCCTGGTTGATAGCCCTGCTCTGCTGTGGTCCTAAAACAACACTGATAAACCCTCATCATAGTTCTGTGGACTCAGATTTGTAATGCTTTTGATGTGGGTATGTCACAGTCACGTACATGAAATGATAGCAAAAATACTGCGGCGCTCCTACAGATGTAGGGTAAGGGTGCACAGAGCAGGATCTGAAACTCTAACACAGAGACAGGCCTGACTCTTGATGCTTAGCACCACGTATCCAATGGCCTCAAGCTGTAAAGAAGCCTCAAACGTTGCCAATTAACCAGAGCCCTGCTGCTGCCAGCTGGCTCTGCTGCCAGCTCACATGCCTTGGTACCACCTTACCAACCTCACCCAAACACCTGACTGAGCGAGTGTGAAGTAGCTCTATTTTTATAAGCAAGGACTTTATTCTCATAATCCTGCAGGTAATTTCAGATAAAGGCAATAATCCCCAAAAGTTCCCTTGCTTCTGAAACTTTGCTGCTCCCTTTTCCCTTAACTTTTTGACTGCAGAATGTATGCAACAAATGGTACAGAGAGGAAAGAAAAAAGGTGATCACCAGAGCTTGAGAGATGTGAGGAATCTTCAGGCATCCCACTACCTAGACTAAGGTGGAAATCAACTCTAGATATCACACTCACAGAAGAGCAAGTGGGTAAGATTTATATATATATATATATTTGTGTGCTTGGTGTCAAGGTTCAGATTAAACAGAAAACCCATACTGCCAAAATCAGTAACGTGTTCTTCTTCAGAAAGAGCAGACGCCCTGGAAAAGAGGAAGCACATTCCTTCACTTCTTCCATCACGCTAAGGAAGGAAGGCAGGGAACATTCCTTGTGCTTGCACTTCAACCACGAACTGGAGCATGTGGGTCCTGAGCAGAGACGCCGTCCTCACGCGATGGTTTCTGCTCAGGGGCTGGAGGGCAGCGTCTTGTATGGATTGAGGATTCCTTTGGGGTCCAACATGGCTTTGAAACGCTGCATTAGAAAGATTGCCTCGTTGGGTTTGCTGTACTGAATGAACTGCTTCTTCTTGAAGCCCAGCCCGTGCTCTGCACTGATGCTGCCATTGTATCTTGCTGTCCACTCGTACACAAATGGCTCGATGGCATCCAGAAGGGAATGGCTGTAGGACTCTGCCGTGACGTTCAAGTGCAAGTTTCCATCTCCTGGAATAAAACATTACACAGGTGGGTCTGTATGAAAAAATCCATAGCCCTGCAATGGAGAACCACTGCTGTCATCTTCCAAGCAGTCAGACATCATCCAGTACATCCAAGTACTCAAACAACAGTGCCTTTGTTACTTTCCAAACTATCCCTTCAGAGAGGGGAAGTGAACTGTTCCACAAACATCAGGCCCCTCTGTGCACAAACAACTCAAATAGGATCTTTGTTTTTCCATGCTTTCAGTACAACCTTTGAGGAAGCGTTCCAAGTCAAGCAACTCTCAAATTCCCACTCCTGTAACTCACAAATTCAAAGAACCGTGCTGCACTAATTATTCTTCCCGCATTAAGATGACATGCCAAAGATTTCCCCAACAGTATTTAATAATGATGATTAGATCTCAATACAGAATTCATTGCTGTACCTATTATATTTGTGCAGTATTCAAAGGGCACTTTGGCACTGCATCAACAGAAACAAAGAAAGAAAAGCATTTATTTTCTCTTTTTGCTGCTTGCGTGGGATGATATTCAATTAAGCACACAGTTACAGGGCATGCAGAAGACAAAACACACAAAGACAAAGAAAAAAATACTCATTCCCCCTCTGGAACCTCTTCTTTTATCTCAGCAAATTCTTACAGTACACAACTTAATCCTCAATGCCACCATCCTCCAAAGGTGGCTGCTATTACGAAAACTTGTCTTTCCATGTCTTTCAAATCATCTGACATCAAGCATGCTGAGGAGTGATCTGGGTTTTGCTGTTGTTTCTGGCTTGGTTTGGTGATTTATTTTTAGCAGAACCCATAGAACAGCTCTGCAAAGTGACTTATCTGTCTCTAGTGTATATAAAATGAAGTCAGTTTCAAAGCATTCTGATAAATGTAAGGGCCTCTTTCTATCAAAAAAAGTGTGAACTCCTTTTATCACTCTCATTTGGAGAGTGAACGACTCAAATGTAACTGATTTCCAATATCACTAATCACTTTGGACAGGAAAATGTTTATCTACCAAATGCGTCTGAGCACATTAATCACACTGATGGTGCCATGAAATACCCTAGCTATTTAAACAGAAAACACAGAGCAAAAAGATACAAACAGCCACTTTGAAACTGCAGAGAGGTTAGTGGTTATGCTGCCAGGTCACACCTGCCACTGATATACAGAATACAGTCTGAAAGCAACGAAGATGCTTAAGCATCCTTCTAATAGCTCTCAGCTGTTCAGTCTATGCTCCTCAGTAATTAAAACAATCCAAACCTTTAGGAGCTACTAGGAAGGTGCACAGCAAAACTTGGAGGAGAAGAAGAAGTGATGTCCTTTTCCTGCATCTGCACTCACCCAAGTGGCCATAGCCCACCACGTTCTTGGCACTGTGGCCCAGTCGAGCTCTCATGTCAGTCACAAGATCATACAGCTTTCCCACAGGGAGGGAGATGTCATACTTGTACACACAGCCATCACGACTGAGCGCCTCTGTGATCCTCTCCCTCAGGCTCCACAGTGCCTGTGGGACAAAGATCAAAGGAATCCCAATCAGCCAAGTTCCTCGTGTTCAATACTTTGTGACACGGGGGGGAAAAAGCCCCGACTCCACACGTAACATCTGATATCCCTCAGTATCCTCTGCCTGACTGCAGACAGTACAAACAAGTGCCACAGCCATGGGCATCTTCTGCAAGGACGTTCTGGTTCCCCAAGAGGTGGGGATGTGCCTCCTCCACTGATCTGCCAGTGCCCACTTTGCTCCCTCAGACTGCAGAGCCTGGCTCTAACACATCCCCACCTTGGCTTGCAGGACTTCATTCATTCCTGGCCTCTCTGACGATCCAGCTTTTGCTTTCAGTAGTGCTCATGGAGATGTAGGTCCTACCACAACAACTACTGATATCCCACAGTTCATTATCCTCCGCTCCTTAAAGAAGAAAACATCCACTGACAACCCAAACACTCTGGGCCTTTCTTCTCAATAATAAGCTAATAGGTCACTCAAGTGTATTAACTTCAAACAGGATGAACGCTTCCTCATGAAGGAGAGCATTTTTTCAAGCAGATTTGTGCAAGAGGAAATGTTGACTTGCCTTTATTTTCTTATCATCCACTGCCACAGTTCCATCAGTGACTAAACCAGAAGTCATGGCCTGTTCCAGGAAGCTGTTCAATTTTTCTTCATCGTGCCTCAAGTTGGAGCCCGAAGTTTCAATTAAAACATAAAAAGGGCTGCCTGAAAGTGAGGGAGAATAAAATAAGTGGATGCTCTGTGCTACAAGCATGGGATTTTACTGCAGATTCTAGAGTTTCTCCCCAAACTTGGCACATTTTATCAAGTATCCTCTATCGCCCAGATTCTTTGGTGCCAAACAGAAGTGCAGCCCAAGTGGCAATCTTTTATCTGGAGGGCACTTCACTGCTTTATCCACTACTGCTTTCCAAAAAACCAGTATTTTTGTAGGAACCAGTAGGAGCAAAAAGTTCTATCTTTAAAAACTTTTACCAGTCGAGCTTGGAATTGAATACTGGGTACAAAAATTAAGTGGGACTAAAAGCCCTTAAGCAGGATAATGCCACTTTCTGCAGCACAAAGGCTGCTATCTGCATCTGCTCCCTAGACAGGTATCAGCTGTGGTACCTCTCACCGGGTTGGAGAGCCCAAGATGTTTCTCAACCAGTTCCATGCACTTCTCATCCATGAACTCAAAGGCAGACAGGATCTCTCCCAGCATGGCTCTGCAGGTCGTAAACGTTTCCTGAACCCGAGAGAAATCCTGACATCCTTCAGACAGATACAAAGATCAGAAACAAAAATCAATCCTTCAAAAGCTTTCACGGACTTTTTAAAAAGCCTGTATCGTGCTTGAAGTGATGTTTCCTGTCTCTAGGAAACAAGAGTCCAGTGTGGGTTGGTTTGGGCTGGGGAAAGGGGTGGAGGAGAACAGCAGGAGGAGAGAGCAATTGGTCTTTACTGTGGCAAGGACCTCTTGCACATTCCAGGACAGTTCATAGCAAAGAATTTGCTGCACACTTAGTTCTCAACACGGGAAAGAAAGCAATCCAAGTTGTATTTAAAGGCTCTTATGAAAGTTTAGGCAAATTCTTGGGTTCACTGCACGTATTCCATAGGTTTGCCCACTCATACCCTCCGAGGAGTTCAGCTGCCTGCTTCCAAGGACATACATATTAGAAGCAAGCTGTCTGAGAAGCCCCATCTGGCATTTTTGAGAACAGAACAGGTCTCAGTGAAGGTTGCCTCCAAACAGCTCTGCTAAAAAGCTTCAACAAGGACTCCCCTTTCACGACTATTCCCACTCCAGCATACAAATTCACATGTGATGCTTATTAATAGCAGTTCCTACCTAGGAACGCCACATTCACAGCTTTAGGTTTCTGGGGGCAGAGTATAGAGACAGCTGTGATGACACCTAAAGTCCCCTCAGATCCAATGAAAAGCTGCTTCAAATCGTAGCCAGTGTTATCCTTGCGCAGCGATGCCAAACAGTCCAGAACTGTGCCATCTGCCAGCACCTGTGAGAACACGGAGTATCAGCATCAATAACAGATGCTTCATGCACGAAGGCACTTTCTCAAAAGAGCCACAAAAGGAACAATTAAGAGAGGGAGACTGAAAAGGAACTTCTGCCTTCCTAACAGACAGCCAAGAGTAGAACAGCAGGAAAATGATAAGAGCTACCAGGTACTCGCCTTACCACTTCCAGCCCCAACACAGTCCCTCGCAGAGAGCCGTATCTCAGCAGCCGCAGGCCTCCGGCATTTGTGGCCACATTGCCACCGATGTGACAGCTGCCTTTGGCTCCCAGGTCAAGGGGCATGATAAAGCCCCGCTCCTCCAAGTACTCATTGAGTTTCTCTAGGATGCAGCCAGCTTGGCACACCAGGATTCCTGAAACACAAACATCCTGCTACAGGCTGATGCTGCGGAGGAAGGTTCCTCCTGAAGAGGTGGGAAGAGTGCAAGCAGGCAGAACCACCTCTTCCTCTAAAACTTTCTGGAGTTCAATTGAAGCTGTAAGAACCCTGTGCTTGCTACAGGGCATTGTTCCATCCTTCTTCGACCCAAGAGGGCTTTACTACTGATTTAACATCTGGTCATCCGTAGCTCTGGGCATGCAAAATACAGTGATGTTCAGTCAACCTCTGCCTGGCATTCACTTCCCTTCTCACCATGTTTTAAGAACTGAGATACTCAAAGCAGTCTGTTTCCTAGCTTTCCAAACCCAAACAACACGTAAGCTTTCCCCATCCTTCCCTTCCCTGTTTGTTTTTTTGTTATCACACACCTCCTCCACCACTGTTGTTCTCCACCTGCTGGGTTTCTCATCTGGGTAACAGGACATACACCATCCTCTTATCTCTTTCTTCCTCTTTTCTGCCACCGGATATTTTCTTACATCTGCTCCTGTTATCACCTAAGGATGGCATCAGCAGCAGGAACAGGGAGGACACGAATCTCTGATGCTCCTTAGGATCCTGCTGGGCTGAGCCTTGCTGACCCCACAGCTCCCATAAAACACCTCAGTAAGACCCAGGGGTCACTTCTGTGCACCACGTGTCTATGATACTTACCAGACACCGGGTCAAAGCTGATGATCTTGTTCATCAGAGCAGTGGACAGAATGATCTCATCGAAGACGGGAACGCTGCCCCCAACAAGGCCTGTGTTACCCCCTTGTGGGCTCACTGCCAGGTTCCTCTCATGGCAGTACCTGGAAGGAAACAGGTTTCTCAAGCCTCAGATCTTTTAAGGCCAATAATCCAGTCTATCAGAAGAGTCACTTCTACATCAATGCGCACTGCTGTGAGCACTCAATGTGCCTAACAGTTAAGCAATGTTTAGCCTAAAGATTAAATTGACACAAAGGGGCAGTTTCATTGTAAACATGAGAAAGCACAGCTCCTCACTGCACTCACCCCAGTGCTGGACAAAAGAATGAACATTTGGGGCCATTCCCCTGAACAGATGCTGACGTTCAACCACTCCTGCTCTCATATTTCCAAACCCAGGCAGTGCTGTTGGTGGACAAAACAATCTTCTTCCCTTTGCAGATGGGCCCTCCTTGGATCCCTTAACACAACTGCTTGAACTGAGCATGGGTAAGGTGTCTAATTTTGACAATCCAGCAGAGCAGAAAAATTATTAATACTGAACCCATTTGCTTATCTCCCCCAATTTCTCTCCTCCACCTTGAGCACTCCAGACTCCCCTCTCATCAATGCCAACACTCATTTGAGAAGTCTGCTACTGCCCATTTGCCTTTGCATGGACCTCTGGCCATGACACAGGAATTCTGTTTTGCAGAATAAATCAAAGTTCAGCCCTCGGGCCTGCCTGATGCTGCCGTGACACAAAAGCCAAGAGCCAGGGAGCACTGGGCCTATGAAACACGAGGCACATGTTCAAGTCTCTTTCTGCCTTTAAAAGCTTCAGCTCTCTGTGAAAACATTCTAAAAATGAACCTGTACATTCCTTCCTAAGAAAACTGTATAGCTAGTTAGAGTCTCCTAGCAAACAGCCACTGAACCCACTGGCTGGCCTGATCTATACTCACAGCACATTAGGAACTTAGGTGGTACACCAGATCTCCTCAAAACACACCAAACCATGGTACCAAGAGCTTCAAAGACATTTTTTTGTCTTTTTACTCCAGCAGGAAAGAAATGGGGTAGTTTTGTCCCATCCGTCAGTACAAAGACAGTGACAAGTGATACTGCCTGCCCAGCAGCAGGCACACAGCTCTGGATTAATAACAGCAGGCAGCGTTCCTGGCTTGGGTGCTGCTGGATTAAAGGGTGTGCAAAAAGATGAGAGTCCAAGGACAGCTGGGACATAAAGGGTACAAGGAAGAGCTGAAGTCACCAGAGGCACCACCAATATAAAACCAGCTTCAGCTATTCCAGCGCTCACATGACTGCCTGAACGTCCTTTCCCCCGTGTGACCTTCCCAAAGCAAACCTGGGTCTCCTCACCCCACAGCCCTGTAAGAAAGGCACGCATTACCTGAGAATTTGAGACACCTCTGCTGCTGTCTTTGGCTTCAACAACAGCTCGCTGCAGCCTGCAATGAAAGCAAGGGACTCTCAAGGCAAGCCACAGGCTGTACAGAGAGCAGAACGAAGAAGGTGGCGAGGGATGATGTCTGAAACAGCAACACCCCCCCAGTGTGAGGCACAGTTAATCTAAAGCACTTCAAGCAACTTGTAAAAACCTTTTATGTGTCTACAAACTTGGTTGCCAGAGTGAGCATGGGGAAATGTTCTCTAACTTAGGAAATGTTTTCTATCTTAGGACGAGAGGCGGTGGCCTTAAGCTGCATCAGGGGACGTCCAGCTTGGATATTAGGAAAGATGTATCAGAAAGAGCGGTGAGGCACTGCGCAGCTGCACAGGGAGGTGGGGTCACCGTGCCTGGAGGCGTTCAGAGCTGTGGGGATGTGGCACTGAGGGACGCGGGCAGTGGGCACGGTGGGGTTGGACCTGGGGATCTGAGGGTCTTTTCCACCCGTAGTGATTCTGTGAGTCTGTTCTTATAGAATCTTTGTCAAAAGGCAGAATTCACAACGCTCGTTTCTGAGGCTTGGTCAAAAACTCAGAAGCTATGAAGCGAACACACTGCTTTTAGGAAAACAATCTGCTTTTACCCTGAACCATCAGGCAGCTCGTATCTCCTGCGAGGAAAAGCCATTCTGTCGGGTCTGCGAGTAGAGACGAGCGAGGTTTCAGCAGCGCGGGGACACCAGCAGCCCCACTTACCTCGGACTGATTTCAGCCAGTCCACATTAGAGGATTTCAGCTCCTCGGGGTTCGAGCACACCCTGCCCGGCATGAGGCCCTCAAAGAAAGCCGCATCGCCGCTGCCGAGGCGGGCGAAGGGCAGCCGCCGCAGGCCGTAGCGCTCGCAGGTGAGCGGGACCTCCTGGCTGCGGGGCCGGGCGGTGTGCAGGGCGTTGCCAGGGCGCTGCCGGGACCCGACAGCAGCGCGGCACGGCCGCCGCAGCTCAGGGGCCGGGCTCTGCGGTCGCCACGTCCCGCACGATCCCGCCAGCCGCCTCAGCTGCGCCCAGCCGTGCCGCACGGGGCGGCCGGAGCCTGCGGAGATCCCCATGGCCGAGCCGGGGAGCAACGAGAGGCGCGGCTGAGCCGCACGCCGCCTGCCGGCCTCTTCTGGCCGCGGGATCCCGCAGCGCCCCCCTGCGGGCGGGAGGACCCCGTCCGCGCGCTCCTAGCGCCCGCTTGCCCGCCCTCTCATCACCTCCGACAGCTCGGTTCCCAAAAATATTTTATTTATATCAATATATTCATTATCTATAACGTGATCCAAAAATACAGATATACATTTATTTTTTTTTTAACTTTACATTCTTCTTCTTTTTTTTTTTTTTCCATAAAAAGATTTATATTCTCTTCCATTTACAAAGGGAACATAGATCTAATTCCTTTAAAAAATAGAGCTGTTGGGTTAACATCGTTTCACCTCCAGTTTGGCTGAGCTGTAGTAAAGCTGAACACTTTGGTGCATTGACAACTGTCAGTGGAACATTCCTCTCCGCACCACAGTCTGTCCATCCTTCTCCATAAGGGCGCATTTAACACTGTACATTCAAAATTCAGGAGAAAGATTTTAACTCTTTTGCGACCAGAAGTGAAGGCTGTGGGTCCCCCAGCCCAGGGGCAGGCTGGGCTTATTGCTGGTGTGGGTTCTGAGGACACACTGGTGGTGTCACGCCGTACGGAGCAGCCAGGTCTGCACCACGTGCTGATCCTGGGTCCTGCTGAAGAAGCTTCCTTCCCTTTGAGGATCGATGCCAACTTCTAGAACGTTGTTTGATTTTTTTTTTTGCTTTGCTGGTTGAAATGGAAAGCATCTGCTTTTCCAAGCCCAAGAAAGCACGTACTAATAAAGTACACTTTGCTGTCCCACCTGACCATCTTTCCCGAGTGTAGAGCAGTCAGCTTGGCACTGACCTGCACAGCTGTGCGTTTCCATACCTGCAAGATCTCCCAAGAGGCACAATCTACTTTTGGATTTGTTTCAAATCCAACGCTTGGTTTACAGTGATACCATGACTGTTACAGCCTTGGGAGACAAGGGAAAAAAGTTTACAATAGCATTGGACAGAAGGAAAAAACAGAACTTGGGACAGCATCATAGCCTTCAGGTCAGTCACCCTTACGAGGAATCCAGTGTAGCAGGTCAGTGAGGTACAGGCTTACTGCTGGTACTGAATTACAGGCTGGCTCATGAGGTATCGCAATTATATTTACTCCCAAAACAGAGGCAGAGAGCAGGAGAAGGCTGGCTGTATTTCTAAGCCCAGCTTTGTGAGATTGTGCTTTTCCTCTCCCTTCCCACCAGCGTTCTGTTTCTAACCTGTCTGTGTAGTTTCGGGATGCTGTTACAATGGCAGCAATGACAAACATGCATCTTCCTGTAAACATCAACTACAGAAACTTCATATAAAACGTGGAGTGATGCAACGCAGCAAAGATGTACAATGCCACACTTCCAACAAAAGGACCTTGCAGACAGGCTTTCTGCACAGCAGATACATCAGAAGGTTCACAGAAAACCTGTCTCAGTACCAAAAGGCTTCTCTGCGACAATCCTAACATACCTGCAAGCAGCTACAAACCCAGAGCAAAACAGGAAGGCTGAACTGGCATGAGCTGAGTTCTACTTTCCTTCATGGCAAAACACAAATGAGAGGGTCAGGGCAAGACAAGAAAAAACTTTTTTCTTTTGGAAGCTGGTGCCAAAGTCAGATTAGATTTGTTTTGTTTTGGTTTTCTTCCCTTCTGTACTGTTTATTCAGGTTGTTTTTAAAGCAGAAGAAAGGGCTTATCTGGAAGCCTTTCCAACAGCCTGTATCAAGAGCTGGTATGCAGAGCAATATGCAGATGCCATTAACAGCCATCACAGGCTCACAGACCCTGCTCCATCCTGCTGCAGGGCTTTTTGCTTTGTTTTCTCCCTCCCCTGGCAGAACAACCTTTACCCACAATGTCTCTGTTGTGGGCAGTTAAGCCCCATAAGACAGGAGATACCTAAAGACAACAGTTATCTGTTCTTCCCTCCACTTCTGCATCCACTGTTAACTCAGAGGAAGGAGAAAAAAAAAAAAACTAACAGAACACAGAGTTTTGTTTTCCTACTCATGATTTCCTTCTCATCCTTTTGCTGCAGCAACTGACACTGTGATGACAGCAAGCATTCACATTCGAGATCTGAAAGGCAGCTTCAAGAGGTCAAGAACTGACAAATTTGCCCCCTTGAAAAAGACATGCAGTAATTTAAAGACATTCCTGCTGCACTGCCTTCTCTAATGGCACTTTTTCATAGCAAAAGCTACCCAAGAACCAAACTCCCACCACATTACCACATGGCCACCCTCCAGCTTTGCTGCATCATCACTGCCACGTACACATTGTCCTCATAGAATCTCCCCTTAAAGCTTGAGATATAACAGAAAATCAGGCCTTCATCTTTCTGTATGAATAAATCGGACCCCCTATCACAATACTTTAGGTTTCAATTTCACAGTAACATGCTTAAAAGCAACAAAAACTGACAGGAAAGGTAACTTGTTTTCTCAGTACTACTGTGAACACTGCAGGACAACTCCTTTGATATTTAGAGGTTTTGTTCCAGAAGACACAAGCCTTTTACAGAAGGAGGTTAAAAGCCATAAAGTTTGCTTCTGTTGAGGCTGTAACGTGGATGTGAGCAAAACCAAGTAACAGAAAGGCAGTGCAAAGTTAGACAGAAGAAATTCCCCAAATGAGAAGATATGGTCTTCTCTCTCTCCCATACTCACCCTGCCAAAAGTGAGCACAGCATTTGGCTTTGAGGAAAAGAGACACTGTAAAAAGCCAATAAGCTTTCTTGATCCTCTCTGTACTACAAAACTGCACAACAAATGGGCATCACACCAAAACAATGGAGTTAATCCTTTCCTGTAGGCTGCATGAGAGAGAATTGCTTTTTCTGTCATGCTAAGCTCTGAGTCTGAATGTCTTCAGCGATGGTATGCATCATACTGAAGAGGTGGGTATCTCAATTTCCTGCAGTGCCTCACAGGGTTTAAGAGACTCCTAAAAACAAGCAGACTACAGCTATGGGCTGTCCTAGCACTCCAGAGTAACACTGATCTCAGTGCTGTGCGAGAGTAACATAAATAAAATCCCTGTGGCACATTCCTCCCTTCCCAAAGTCACTTTTCACAAAAGAACAGGAATTACAACTGGACAATTAAATAGCATATCAGAAACGGAGGAGGGCAGGTTTTAAGATCACAATCGAAATCAAAGATGATATTGCAACATGAAGGAAGGAATATATTAAAACTCTTCTTGCCTCACAGGAGGTATTCCCCTTTACTTCTTACTTTTCTTTTTTTCCTGAACACAGCGCGGACAAAACCTACAGAGAGAAAAACAAAACAAAACAAAACTGGCTGTTAATTAGTACCTAAAATTAACAACGTATTGCTCGGGAGCCTTTCTATTACTTGGAAATGAGTGGAGGTGGTGTTAATTTTAGCCAACTGCAACACTTCACATGGCATGCAGCAAGATTGGGCAGAGAGGGAAGGAACTGTATGGAGTCTGGTGGGCAGAATGGTCAGCACTAGAAGGCTTCTGGGGCTCACCTGCCCCTCACAGCTCAGAGTTACTCTATTTCATTCACCCACAAGTTATTCCAACTGAATTCCTCAAGGGTGGTACATCAACTTCCTGCAGAGTTAAAGGAACAAGGATACCCTGCTCCAATTCCTCCTCTCCCTCCAATGATTGCAACCAGTGCACCTCTGCATTACCTCACTTCTAATACACATCTTACAGTTAGACTAAGAAAGTCACCAAACAAAAAGATTTGCATGTCTTTAAAAGTCTGCAGACTCAATAACCAGCTGGTCACTCAACTGCATGCTGCCATTGCAATATCTGATTGGAATGCAATGACCAAGTCATACTATTTGCTCCCACTTAATGCAGTAGTGCTGTTGTGTTTCCTCTTAAAATCTTGCTTTTGTTATGCGAATTGAAGAGTGTGGCATTTTAACTGCAAAAGACAACGTTTAGCAAAGCTTTTGTCCTTTGCAAAAGAAAACAAGCACAGAAAAAGCCTGTGACTCTTTCTAAAATGGGCACATAGGTAGGTGAAGAAACTTGTAGTCTTAAATTGGGCTCCCCTAAGCAGAATAGAAAATATTCTTTTCCCAACCTTAATCACAGCAACAAATGCAGACATGAGATGTAAGCTGTACACGCTGACAAAAGCCTAAGCTCATGAACTGCTCTGCTTATCATGAAATTTTACATGCCTGGGTCCTTGTTTTGCTCCCACGGAAATCTACGGAAGCTAAGACTCCTGTGGAAACAGCCTCTAGGAAAAACTGTCCCCTTCTATCTTCACATAAAAGCAGTCCCCAACCCAACATGATGTAAACCTCTGACCACAAGAACAAAGTTCCTTTGTCAGGAAAGGTCACCATGGGGTTTCAATTCTGTTTGTGATTCTTTTCGAGAGAAACTGCAGCTTGACAGAAATCAAAAACCTGTGTGTCCTTACCATTTCCCTTTTGGTTTGGTGGTGAGGTCCACACAAGCGAAGTGGAACCATTCAATGGGGCACTGCAAAACAAAGGAAAAACCCACAGAGGAGATGCTTAGCATTTTACCAGCGCTACGTTCACTTTGGATGATCAAATTAGCAAGTACCTCCCTTGGATTTCACTGGGCTGTGATGCTGCAAACATCATTTCAAAAGACACGGGGTGCGTTTTGATGATAAAATCATAGAATCATAGAATCACCAAGGTTGGAAAAGACCTAAAAGCTCATCCAGTCCAACCGTTCACCTGTTCCCAATAGCTCCCACTAAACCATGTCCCTCAACACAACATCCAGTCTTTCCTTGAACACCCCCAGGCTCGGTGATTCCACCACCTCCCTGGGCATCCATTCCAGTGCCTGACCACCCTTTCTGAAAAGTAATACTTCCTCATGTCCAGCCTGAATCTCCCCTGCCGTAGCTTGAAGCCATTCCCCCTGGTCCTATCACTGATGACACGAGAGAAGAGGCCGACCCCCAGCTCACTACAACCTCCCTTCAGGAAGTTATAGAGAGCAATGAGGTCTCCCCTGAGCTCCTCTTCTCCAGGCTGAACATTCCCAGCTCCTTCAGCCTCTCCTCATATGGCCTGTGTTCCAGACCCCTCACCAGCTTTGTTGCCCTCCTTTGAACACGTTCCAGGGCCTCAATATCTTTCTTGCAGGGAGGGGCCCAAAACTGGACACAGTACTCGAGGTGCGGCCTCACGAGTGCTGAATATAGGGGAACAATCACCTCTCTGCTCCTGCTTGCAACACTGTTTCTGATGCAAGCCAGGATGCCATTGGCCTTCTTGGCCACCTGGGCACACTGGCAATAAAGCAACAAAGCAAGTGCTTACATCTGGGTTGTCACAGCCAATCATCTCCCCATAGGACACCTGGTGACACAAGCAGTAGGTGGGCTCGTTGGGGTCCACAGGCATGTCCAGGACGTCTGAGGGATGCACTGACAGGATGGTGTCAGCAAACTCGGAGCTGCGGACAAGGCCAAAGCATTTGTCACTTACAGGTGACAGAACAGGTGGGAAAATTAATTTGCAACAGCTATTTAAATCATTTTTAAATCAGAAAGTGGGTTTGAGCTAATACAAAAATACGAGCTTGATTGTAAAGGATTGAAAGACTGATTTGTAGATTCTATGAGAACATGACTACAGTAACAAAATTCCCATATACCTCACTTCTGCCTGCAGTCAGAATAACCTGATTATTTTTTTTTCCCTAAGCCATTTTAGTACATACTCTTCTCTTCTCTCTCTTCTCAGGGTAAAAGGGAACCACCTTGCTCTGAGGAGCTTTGACATAGCAGTAACACTTAACAGAAAATACTTCCTTTCTTTTCAACTTGCCTCTCCACTTAGCCAATTGAATATATTGGAATTAGCAGGGTCCCTTTAAAAAAAATCACATGCCAGAGAGGTTAAATGCCCTCCTTCCTTGCTTCACAGAACAGAACTACATTATTCAAGACTATTTAGGAGACAGCTGCTGTTTAAAAACAACCATGAAAACTCTGCAAGATCTCTAACAGCAGCACAGCATCAGCATTTGTCCCAACAGGAAAGTGTTTCTTTACAATGAATATCACAAGCAACTGTTAAAAATAGCTGCATGACAAAAATCAAAGGTATTTTCTCCCAGCTTGCCAACAGCAACAGAGACTCTGATCTCGTCCTTCCAGACAGAGGGCATTCCAAGCATGCTGGGTTTCCACGTGGCAAGCAAGGAGTTAATTAGTCAAGCTAACTTGTCTTAAGGCGGGCTCTAATTAGTGAGACCAGAATACTGGAACACCACTATCATCCCAACAGGAGAGTCATAAACAGGGTAACACAAACACGAGGAAATTCATCAAGTGTTGAACCCAAGTCATCAGAAGTGTGACTGGATACTACTTACCCTCCTTTCAGCTTCTTTTTCTTTGGTGTGTCCTCTTCAGACGTCCGCTTACCTCGACCACGAGAGCTTCTTTTGTCTTTCTGACTTTTTCCCTCTATAGAGACAGATAAAGCATTGCTTCAATCAGTTTGAATACCATGTCAGGCATTTTTCTTTTGGTGCATTCACTGTTTTGAAATCTGTCTGTCACATGCAACTGAACACAAACACTGATTATGAAATGCACATACACTTTTCTGCCACAAACACACCCATCTTGCAAGTAATATCCCCAAGTGTCTAAATCCTACATCTGCAGTTTTGGCAATTCATAGAATCACAGAATGGCCTGGGTTGAAAAGGACCACAGTGCTCATCCAGTTCCAACCCCCTGCTGTGTGCAGGGTCACCAACCAGCAGCCCAGGCTGCCCAGAGCCACATCCAGCCTGGCCTTGGATGCCTGCAGGGATGGGGCATCCACAGCCTCCTTGGGCAACCTGTGCCAGTGCCTCACCACCCTCTGGGTGGAAAAACTTCCTCCTAAGATCTAGCCTAAGTTAGATCACCGTATTTTATATTAGTCCACAATGTCATGCAAGGCTTTAAATAGCAACATATTTGATTGAATACACAGATCTTCAAATCTAAGTGACAGACTGAGGCCAAGACTGTTAAACTCAACAACTGTAGGAACCACAGGCTGAGCATCAGTTCAGTATTGTCATAGTTAGTTCTCCCTTAGCCAGTAGTGTCCTTACAACCAGCGACCACTTCAGGACACTGACAAGGAGAGCCCAGCACTAAATCTTTTCCTTCTCCTGTTTATTGCCCAGTGCAACTCTATAAATACCTGAAGAGCATTTAAAATAAGTATGGGATTACACCGCAGCGTCTAGAAACGACAGTCTACTCTGTACCCAAGGCCCTCTGTTTAGACATGCCCAGTGCTGGAAAAGGCTGTTAAACACACAACATTTACACACTTTTCGGGTTTCGTGATCCAGAGCTTTCGAAGTCACTGCCCTCCAGTTTATCCTTCAGATCCGCTTCAAACCGCGCCAAGTCCGCATCCAGCCGGCGGATGTGCTTATCCACCTGCACAGAGAGGAAACCACAGACTGAACTAAAAACACAGAAACACTCCCAGTGCAAAACAAGGAAGGTCTGGTAGCTTGGCTGCTCTCCCTAAGAACATGAATGTAACAGCTCAAGGCAAGGCATGAAGGGCATATCAGACTGGAAAAGGGAAATGGTGTACAGAAAGGGAACTGGAGCACACAGAGAGAGGAAAAAATGCTGAAGAAAAGCAAGTGGACTGAACCCACATGCAAGCAAAAAGAAAGGAAGGAAAAGGGAGTGGGGGAAGGAGAGTCCAAGCAACCAGACCAACAGTTCGTAGGACAGCACAGAAAGATTTTTTTAAAAAGTTCTCTTTCTGCCACTTTGAAAATACATTATTCAGTTGGTATCCATTACGTGTGTGAATATTTTCTGTGGTATTTCACCAGTACACTATTTAATGAAATTTAATAACAAAGACAGGCTATCTCCAATATCGTCAGCACACGTTAGGTGTCTTCTAACCTCCACAGTAATATGGTTTACAGAACAGAGGTGCAATAAAGGTGTTCAAACCTTCACCCCCACCCACAAAACAGCTGTGCTGCTGCAGTACCTATTCATGAAGTTGGTGTTTACCCGGGAGACATGAAATTATTTCCTTTTCTGCAGTATTTGAAGTACTGCAGCTTTACTAATTAGAACTCAAAGCATCCCTAGAAGCTACTTACAGCACACTAAGTGCAGACAAAAAAGGGATTCCCCTCGCTTAAAGTCACTTATGGGATAAAACGCACAGAGAATTACTCAAAGAACAGATAAATGGACAGGAGTCAGTGCAGAAGAGGAGAAAAGTGGAGATCTGCACCTTCAGAAATGCCATTTTCCCACTAAGCCCAACAGGCCAAGCCGGACCTCTGTCACACAGGAGCTGACAGGGTTCCATGCCTTGGGATCCAAGGCAACCAAGTGGAAACGGTTCCCTCAGCTCCTACACAACGTAGCTTGGAAGCTGACCTAAAAATTGCTGCTTATGACCAGACAGCCCGAAGTGAATGTCTGGGTGAGAGGCAGGTGGGCAGGGCGAGCTGGCTGTCAGTGCTGCTGCCAGAAGAGAAGTCTACTTGACACCAAACCCAGCAACACAAGGGCAGGAGTTCGGGGAAAGCAAAAGCAAGAGAAGCAAGCTGGAAAATGAATACTTTGTTTCGGTAAGATAGTGAAGGCAAATACACCAGCAGAAGGACAAACAGAGCCGTGCCTTCAGAGCCCAGCAGCAGCCCCAGCCAAACGGCGGCCACGCAGCGGTGTGACAGCACTCACCATCTCGTAGGTCTGCATGGCCAGCTGCACTTTGTCATCGCTGTACTCCTTGCATTTACTATAGGCGCTCTGGATCCTCCTCAGGTGCTCCACTCGCTGCTCGGCTGACATGTTCTTCACCGACTCGATGTACTCTGCGGCCAGGCGGTCAATTTCGGCTTTCTTATCTGTAAAGCCCAGACGCCGCACGCACGCGTGAGAAAGCCGTGCTCCCAGAGGGAGCGTTATTTCCCCCCCCGGCTGCCCGCGCTACGGGAAGACCCTGCACACCTTCCGTCCTCTGGTCCAGCTCCCGCATCAGCTGGAAGTTCCGCTGCAGCTCGCACGGCAGGTTCTCGATGCCTGAAACAAACACGCAGCGCCATCAGGGCCGCTCCCCTCGCGGCAGACCCACGCGGGGACTCCCGGCGCTCCCGCCCGCCCCGCTCGGTCCCGTGTCGCGGCGCGGATCCCGCCCGGCCGCGGCCCCGCGCTCACTGTCCAGGTAGTGCTCCAGGTACATGGCGGTCGCCATCTTGCGGCCCGCGCCCCGCCGCCGACAGCCGCCCGCCCGGCCCGCAGGACACGGGCCGCGGCCCCGGCCTCATCGCATATTCACGAGGTGCTCCGTGCCCATTGGCCGCGGGGGGCGCTCCGCGTTGCATATTCATAAGGGCGGGGCCTAGATGTCGGTTCGGAGGACTTTCTCTCTATGGCTCCTCGCCGCCTAGAGCGGCGATGGCGGGAAGGGGAAGCGGTGAGGGGAGGAGGGCAATATGGCGGGCGGGCGCGGCGCGTTAATCGTGCTGGAAGGGATGGACCGCGCCGGGAAGAGCACGCAGAGCCGGCGGCTGGTTCAGGCGCTGCAGGCCGCCGGGCACCGCGCCGATCTCCTCCGCTTCCCGGGTATGGGTCTCGGGGTGCGGGGGGCTCCGCTGGGAGACGCGGCCGGGCCGCCGACCTCTGGCCCGCTTGGTTACAGAGAGGACGACGGAGATCGGGCGGCTGATCGGCGCCTACCTATCGAGAGAGAGGGAGCTGGAGGACCACGCCGTGCACCTGCTGTTCTCCGCCAACCGCTGGGAGCACGTGTAAAGGGCGGGGAGGGGGACGAGGGACTGGGGAAGCAGGCACAGGCGGTCACAAATCAAGGCTGCGGGCCGCGGGGCGGGCTGTGGTGCCCAGCCGAGGGCCTCGGTCCTGAGAGAGGCTGTGCGGGCCGCGGCCTGGTGAAGGAGCGTGGCTGCGGGGCCACACTGCGTTCCTATTGCCCTTCCAGCCATAAGTGAACTTCCCCCTCTCTGTTGGGGTGCTCCTTCTGAGTCCCGGCCAGCAGCTCCCTGCCTGCTGCCACTTAAGGAAGCCAATGGAGTTAATCATTCACCCCTGCCACGCCTCCATGTCACCGCCTGGATTCTGAATCATAGAATCATTAAGGTTGGAAAAGACCTCTAAGATCTCCAAGTCCAACCCCACATCACCCACGTGCCCACATCCCTTAGCACCACATCTCCACAGCTCTGAACGCCTCCAGGGATGGTGACTCCCCCACCTCCCTGTGCAGCTGTGCAGTGCTTCACTGCTCTTGGTGAGATGAAATTTTTCCCAATATCCAACCTTCTTTCAATGCACCATTGCTTCATGGCAGCCCAAAGGGACTGGACAGATCACAGCGTCACTGGGCCTGGGGCACAGCCTTTGGTGCAGTGAACTGCAGCAAGAAACATTGTAAATAAGAATGCTTTTCTCTGTCAGAAGCAGTATATCACAAGCCTGTTGCATCGCTTATGGAGGATGGAAGACTGAGCTGTTTGTGCCCGGCTGTTGCTCTGATCAGTGATCCTGCGTGTGAGCTGTGGAGCTGCTCTGAGCAGTATCCTGCACATGCATCTGAGTGTGCGTGTTCTGAAGGGGTATTTCCTTTATGCCATAGAAGGCAGAGCACAAATAGTAATTGATCCATGATTGTTGTCATGGATAACGCTGACGTTGCTCATGATCACACTTTGTGATGAAGTACATTAACAGACAGGTGCCAGCTTTGTGAGCTGTCTTTACATAAACTCTTTTTATTTGTCTCTCTATTGACTATTTTTTTCTCCCTCTTGGTTTTCAGAACATCAATGAAAGAGAAGCTCCATCAAGGGATCACGCTTGTAGTTGACAGATACGCCTTTTCTGGAGTGGCCTTCACAAGTGCGAAGGAGGTGAGTGGGGAATGTAGCAGGCCCTGCCCCTCTCTGTATCTGGGGAAACAGGAGATATGTAGAAGCTTGGTCTGGACTTCAGTTTCTGTGGTCTAGGCCTTTCCTGTGGGGAAAAAGTGGGTTGGAACTGAGGGATGAAAGGGATTTCAACTTAGGTATTGACGTGGCCTGTTTGCCTGTGTGCCTGTGTCTACCTTAGAAAAAGTAGAGGAACGTGTTAGGTTGCTCACCAGTGTGGTAGGCTCACTCCAGTACCATACTGGGGAGCCCCAAACCAGACGTAGTGCTGAACAGAAGAGAAGGATTCTTTCCCTTGACCCACCAGATGCACTCATGCTTATACGACCAAGCTGAGTAAGCATAGGGTAGGTATTTTAAAAGGAGTCTTTGTGGGCTGTGCCATACTAAAACTGCATGACATTTATGTTCCAGAGCAGCCTTCTTGTGGACCGATAACAGCTGTGTGGAGACCTCAGAATATGACTCAGTATTTCCCCCTGCTGGGCTTTGTGGAAGAGGTGTTAAAATCATTAGCTTTACTTAGCTTCAGTGAGAAGCTGAGAGGTACACAGTGCCTGGAAAAATCTGGATTCCCAAAATTACAGGGTTGAATTCACAAATATTAAACTGGAATATCTCCTTTTCAGTTCGTAGCACTATGCTCAGCGATCTGTGCTGCATCCCTATGACTGTCCCTCCCTCAATCCCACTCTAGCTGCCCTTCTCTCCCTTGTTCTCATTCCTTCTTTTTGTCACTTCAGACTTGATTTTCTTTGTTTGGGACAGAACTTCTGCCTGGAGTGGTGCAAACAGCCTGATGCTGGCCTCCCAAAGCCAGATGTGATTCTCTTTCTTCAGCTGAGCCCAGAGGAAGCAGCAGCACGAGGGAACTTTGGAAAAGAACGTTATGAGAATGGCCCCTTCCAAAAAAAAGTTCTGCAGTCTTTCCATCATTTGATGAATGAGAAGACATTAAACTGGAAGGTGAGGAAATAACCCTGAGGGTTCTGTCATGGACTGGGGCTGGGAGGAGGGCCTCACCAGAGCTCCTGGATTGCACACATTGTATCCCCGTGCTTCCTGTCCCTGCGAAAGGGCAGGGGGTTGTGCTGGAGAACCAAAGGCACAGTGGCCTGTGAGCACCTGCTACTCTGGGACACTTTAATGGGCCCTGCTGGAGTCAGGGGAAGAGTTTCTTTTGTTTCACACAAAAACTTATCTGGAAATCATACTCCTTAAGGACAAGTTGACAAACCGGGGTAAAAAATAGTGAGACACACACCCATGCTCCTTCATATGTTTCTTTCCTTTCTATCCTGCAGCATCTGGATGGTGAAATCCTTGGAGGTTTTGGGGCCTTCCTGCAGCTTCTCTCTCCCTTACTGACTTTCCTTTTCATATAGCTAGTCTTGACCAACATTTACTATCCTGCTAAACAAGAAGTCTCTCACAACACATGATCTCTTGTTTCATACTCCTACATCACTTTTCCTTAGTCATCCCTTTGAGCTATTTCCAAAGGGCTGCACAATCAGCAGGCAGAAGAGGAAGCATTCCCTATTGATCCTGAGTGCAGGTGACCTCGGCAGAGGCTTTTCTGGTCTGGACAACCTTCTTAGCATCTCCATCATTCTGTTGGTATTCAGCCATGAGTTATAGGAAGCATTTTCTGTGTAGGCTGTAGCTTTCAGAGATAAAGAAGTACACATTATGGTTAAATCACTAGTCACCATGGGCTGGAGATGTATGCAAAACTGGATGTATTGCCAGATGATCAGACTGCATAAGGCAAATGTGGTTTGTCACAGCCCACTTCAGGTAAACCTGATTCTGTAACATGGGAGAGTTTGTATGTAGCAGAACCTGAAGGAACAGTTCCCAAACTAGGAGATGTATTTTTATTCCAGTAAATGTCATGTTAGGAAATGGCCTTTCCTACATCATAATGACTAGATAAATGGGCTGATGAAAAACTCATAACGAAGCACTAAAACTAAAAGAAGAAAAATAAGCATCCTGTCAGAATAATCATATGAAACAATACAGAACTTACTTTATGTCTAGACTGCAAGCTCTGATTTTTAAGAGATTCCAGCAGAGGAATGTATTTCCCTGATTACCTGTCATCTGTTATTTCTCTTTTTTTTTCACCTATCCACTATGTAAAAGGAGTTTTCATTTAAAGTGTTGGCAACGTGTCTGCTTAAAATCCCCCAAACTGCAGCGCTATTAAATAGATACATACCAAAAGAGAAGATGGAAGAGGTGAGAGGTCCCTGAAAGGAGTACAGAAATCCCATTTCAGTGCCCTTTAACAGTTAGCATTCCTGCCTATTTCCCCCTCAGCATCAGATAGAATAATAGATACCAAAATAATAATAGATTGCCAAAGATCCATTTAGTCCAAGACATGACATGGAGCTCAGTGCTATCAGTTAGAAAAATAAACTGAGATCAGCAATCTGCTTGATGCTGGGTGCTCACAAAGCTGAGCTGTTGGTTGTGCCATAATGAGAAGACTGCTGTTTAATTACAAAATATATTTATTGCATAGCCTCACAGCCTGCTGCATGGTGCAGCACTGCACAGGTCGTCGTGATAAAGCTGCACCTGCTTTCATCTTTTAACCAATTCCTTCCTTCACTTTGGGTACTGGTGAGTAATTGTAAAGCTGAAACACTGAAGTTTCTGGGGCACTACAGTACATGGTGAAGAATGTTTACCTGGCTTGAGGTCAAAGGCTGTCAGCAAAAAACATGCAGCAGTGGTGTCTTGTTTCCCTTCATCTTCTCCACATCTGCTTGTTAAATGTACGTTCCTGGGTGAAACAGACTTTCCAGTTCCACTGCAAAAGTAGTGCACAAGAGGGGTGATTAGCTCCTGTCAGTGCTTCTGGATGGTAACAATTTTGAGTAAAGGGGGGGAGCAGAAATAAGAGGAAGATGGGTTTTTCCCATATTGGAAATTGAGGAATGTTTCTATGCTTTTGGTTGTTTTTTTTTTGTCTTGGAAACAGACAATGGATGCTTCAAAGAGCATAGAAGACTTGCACAGAGAAATCAAGAGCATTGCAGAGAAAACCATGCAGGAGGTTAAGGATAAACCCTTGGGAGAACTGTGGAAGTAGAGCAGTGCAGGTCATTCTCAGTCCTAATGAAGACTCACCTCTTGGACCTTCTTTGGCCGGATGATTCCTACATCACCTTCCAGTAACCACACCTTAGGTCACGATGTATTCGTATGGGTCAAGCTTGTCCTTGTAACATCCTCTGCTCCTCTTCCATTCTGCATAATCCCCAGGAGCTTCTTTTTATAAATGAACGTGTAACAATTCTTTTGAAACAATTCCTCCCTACCTCAAGTAGGATCTCTTTTGTTGTAGGCTGTCCTTTAGTGCAGATGTGGCAACTGAGCTGAGTTTCCACAAACATAGACAGCTTCAGCAGGTGAGGAACAGCTTTCCCATACTTGAAGTTCCATGCAATGACCGTGTTTCTGGTTCTGTTTCTTTAGTGGAATACATCCCTGTACTGAACCCAGCTTGTTTTTACAATAAACTGCTCTTTTAAACATTTTGTACCACAGCTAAGTTGTGGGTCTTTTTCCAATGTGATCATTTATCTTCTAGAAGGATATATGCGAGGCCCTCAGTCCAGGGAGATGTTTGCTAGGATGCTGGAATGAAGGGACAAACGAACTCATTTTCAAGTCTGCTTCCAAGCTGTACAACAGGAATACAGAGGCTGAGCTGCTTTTAGGGGTAAGTGTCTGAAATAAACGTGAACTTAGAGCATCTTGAAGGCTGAGTGGTACGCAAGTTCTTCTAGACTGGTTGAGTTTACTCTTGGGGCCAAGATCAGAAGAGAGTCAGCAGTGAATTCTATAAAGACTGAATTTAAAGTGCAATTCACACAGTCCTGCACACACTGCCAAACCAGATCAGCTGCATGTTCTGAGTGTGCCCAATTCCCTCCAGTCCCATTCTAATTGTTACCTTATGGCCATGCTCACAGAATAATCTGAGCTGTTACAATAAGGCTCCAATTCATGAAACAACACAGGCTTCTGATACTTAGTTATCCTGTATTAGGTTAAGAATTCCCTCAAATCTTCAGCAATAGAAAATAAGTAGTATCTCTTAACTGAACGTTGGCAGCAGTTTGTACCAACCAAGAGAGAAATGTACTCCAAGTGAGTAGCCTTCAACAAAAAGGACCTGCTGTGGAGCAGCACAAGCTGCTGCTTCCAACTACTGTCTCCTGCTACTGCATGGCAAAATGGGGAAAAAAAAATGGTTCTTGAGTTTAGAGCTCTTTTTGTAATGTTTACCACTGCAGGCACAGTGTTTGAAAGGCTTCCTAGAAACAGACACTATGGAAAACTAGCAGCTGAGTAGCTAAACAGCGAGCATACGATTGTAAAGGAAACAAGTTTTATTTTCCATCTACCAATGTGAAATATTAGCTTCTCAATCTCTGCTTGGCTCTTTCTCCTGCTTACCTCAAATGAACATGTGGCAGAGACTCACCAGAAAAGCATGTCCTGTCTTGGAAAGGCTTTATGCTTTTTAGAAGCAGTGAGATGCTGCACTGCTAAGCAGGGAAGCCTTTTGGTACTGTTTTATTATTTTTCCCCCCAGTGTTCGTACAACTTTAAAAGTGAGTAGCAGAACTGAACCACAGCAGTGTTTCTTTGTCTCTGCTGGCATGTTGTGGACGTTCACTCTCCGGGACAGGAACATCAATCATCAAGGCAGTACCACAAAGCCAGCCTCTATTCTAGCAGATAAGAAAGATTGAAGACGCTGTTGTACGTAATTCAGCTTTCACCCTAAAAGCATAACAAGGGCATGGTGCTGCTGTTTCAAGACTGCTCCCCCCTGCACTGCAGGGTTACTCAGTACCACCCAACGTCACCTGAGATTAATGTACAAGAACATTAGGAAAGGCAAAAGATTTTAGATCTGTTTATTCAGATACAAATTGAAAGCAGATGAATGGAGCACAGCCCCAGTTCCTCTGCTGCCTCTTCCCCTAACTACAAGAGAGAAGAGGAGAAGCAGGCAGAAAGCAGCAAATAATAATTTAGTGACAGAAGCATTGTGGTTCCCAGTTCAAACCTCTGCTTTTGGGTAGCATAGGGACAGTTAGAGCATCAGTAGGTCAGTCACGGAGGAAAATGAGTAATTTCTAACCAGCTGTCACCACCCTTGGGCACATAAGCATTAACTGATAGGTTCCAATCCTGTATGTACAAAACAAACCTTGTAAACAGATCTGCAGTCTGCAGCATGCACTAAGGAAACTACTTAGGCAACATTCTGTTGCAGCTTGCATTCAGTTCTCCTCCATGGTTTACCTTTCTGTTTGTGCAGCAGAGCTGTTATCTTAAAGCAGCTACAACTTCTAGCATCATGTTGGATCTTCTCAAGACATTCTGTCTTTGCTGACTTCTTTGGCACGACTACTGGAAATGGGGTTCTATGGGTTAGCTCCTGCAGCACCTTGCCCTGTGCAAACTCTGCAGGTAGAGGAGCTTGCAGAAGAGCAAATGGAAAGGTAGCAACGCAGCTATGAAGCCTACTCAACCTTCAGGCATCTTTTCTGGTTTGGAAAGGGAATGTCTAACAGGAATAGCTGGAGGAACTGCTCAGCAACCCACAGAGCAGAGGATTCCTTGAGGAATTGTGTAACTTTTTTTCTCCACTTCAACAGGATTATTCACTAGATGCTATGCCTGCACACTGGGACGTGGCTGGCAAATCTCAGTTGTCCTGTTTTACCTCTCCCCTGCAGTGGGCTTTTTTTCCCCCCAGGGCCTGTGGATTCCAGTTCTTTGCTCAAAGCACCTTTCCTGAAGATACTTGGTATGGACATAAATCCATAGTAGAAGCACAGCGTGTTACCAACTCACTCAGCTAGAACACACACATTTTCTATTCTCCTTCCCTTCCTTCTGCTGTTAGTTGAGATGGTGATGTTCCTCTCCAGCAGCACAGGTCCATACTTCCCCAGACAGCCTTTTGCTTATTGAATTAGCCCTCATTCATAAGTTACCCCAGCTCCCTTTTGACAGGATGTGAGCAGGAGAGGGCGACTATACCTGTGAGAAAGCGCTGTGCACTGCAAAGCATGGACAGGAGTTTCACTGTAGGAAACAGAGCCACCTGCGCTCTGGGTGCTTCACAGCTGCCTCACTGGGACATGTCTGCTGTTATTTGCATTGTGAGCTGCAGTCCAAATCGGCTGCTGAGAAGAGAAGCTGCTAAAGGAAATAACTATACGTGTCACCTACTAAATGAGGGGTGGCTCTACTTAAGCTTCAGAGGGAAGTCCCCGTGTAAGGATTTAGCGCTCTAAAGATTTCTATGGCTCCCCAGAAGGCCAACTGACCTGCTGATGTAACAGATAGGCTTTGAACTCCTAGGCACCACTGCATCCACTCCCAGCAGGCGTTTTCTGCTGAGAAATCCCAACTCCAGCCAGTAAGGCTGCAACACCACTTGGTTCTTCATCCCAACGCAGACAATGCACGCTCCACTCAGAGGCTGCACAGAATGTCAGGATGGACAAGAGGCAGGGATGGCAGCAAGCACCTATGAAAACCGGTAGCCCCAGGCTCTCCAAGGAGCTTCCCTCCCCCCACTTCTCCCCACACATAACACAAATTTGCAGAGTCAGTTTCCTATTTGTTTTCAAAGGGATAAGATCTCGAAGTCTTCATCTTCTGAGTCAAAGAACCTTTCCAATCTGTCGGCATCGGAGGAATCTGCAAGTGAAGAAGAAAATGTTACCTCCATGGGGTGCAGTGACTGCTCAGCAGCACAGAAACTAGCTGCTGAATATGAGTCACAGACCCACACGCTTAAGAGGCTTTATGACATGTGAGTGAAGGCTCTGAAGAGGTATAGGGGCATGGAAAATGCACTTGAGAGAATTACATGGCAGAAGGTGCACCAGGTTTCACAAATCCTGACACCACCACGGTACAGTGCAGTTCTGTGTTGTGACTGTTTTGTACAGCCTTCCTGTCCAGTAGCACTGCACAGTGCACAGCCTGCACTCACACTGAAGTGATTAATGCAGAATGTTTTGGAAGAAAGGGTAGTGTACTTCTGCTTGCTCTCTTCCATCCATCCTTTCAACTCTGTGGTGTAGAGGAAGCACATATGTACAGGAAAATCAGCTTTACCATAGGGGAAATTCAAGTGAGAAGGTGTGTGCAAGCTGGGGAAGTGAAGGAGAAATCTACATGAACTCAGGCTTTAAGAAAGTACACACTAAACTTGGCAGAACAGTCAGCAGAAACTAAACTACCATGACTGATTGCTGAGAACAAGGACAAGTGCATGGACATGAGGCTGCAGACCCTCTGCATATTCTGTGACGTGCTTTAATTCCACAGCAGTGGATCAGATAGCATCAGTGTTCCTCATGCAAACTGTGGGTGCTGCAGCATAACTTCCTCAGGCACTTCTCAGGGAGCAGCCCTCTATGCTTAAGGAACTGAAGAGAGAACACAACTGACTGGAGAAAATGAGGACAAAGGACTGGATGTCCATGAGCGCATCATTTATCCTTCTAGTGAGGGCTGACAGTAAGGAAAAGTATGGTCAAAACAAACAGGAGAGGCTCTAAAAGCTTGGGGAAGAGAAGGACAAGCAGCTCATTAGGAAAACACTTTCATGAGTAAAGAAGGTAGTAATTAGGGACATTTTGATATAGGCAAGGATCAACAGACAATACAAGCAAACCTACAGAACAGGACAGTGAGCTAAGAAAGACTGCAAGTTCGTGCTAAGAGACAGCAAGGAAGCAATGAATGCAGGATGCAGGTGACTGGATGCAGTCCAATGCCTGGTGACAGGGTGAGCCTGCCACAAATAACTCACTCCTCTTGGCACAATTTGCAGCAAATGCAGAGCCATTGGCAGTGTTCACTTGCATTATTAACATGATAAGCAGAGCCTGACAGCCAAAACTGCCTAACACTTGTTGCTATTTGCATCACCAGGACTAAGCAAATGCACAGGGAAAGAATCCCCTGCACTTGGAGGTATATGTGACCAGCCTCATCTTTGTCAATTTTTAATACCCAGAAGCTCAGTTTTCAGCCTTTTCAGTGGACCTTTCCAATTTCTTTAAGCATCTCTTTAGAAATCATAAATTCATACTGTTAGAGTAGCCTGAGCTTTTTTTAATCCAGTCATCATTCAGACTCCTAAAAATCGCTGAGATACCATGGGAATCTGAACCACTGGTTGAAAACCAAAGAATTAAACTGACCAAAAAGCTCCAGACTTTGGAACTGTGAGGGCAAATGGGAACACAGCAAAAGTCACTGTGCAATTCCATACAACTTCTAGACAACCAAACTCCTCTTGGCTCTTCCTCCCTGCACAGCCTCACCTGGTGTGAGATTCAGAATGTCAGGGTTGGAGAAATGTGATGGCTGGCGTTCAACCAGTTCAAACATGGGCAGAGCTCCTCTTACCAGGGACAGCTGTGGGAAAAGAACAGAGCCATGAGAACCTGCAACACCGCACTCACTGCACTCTGGTTTGTTAGGAGAGGGATACTGATCTGCTGGAACTTCCTTGCAGCTGAAAAAATGATTTCTCAAATATTTTCACTCGTATCAGCTGCAGAATTTTAGAGCTAGAATCCTTTTGGTGTCTTCAACTATTTGCATATGCTTTAGAATGGGATCATGCTGCAGAGAACAAGCTCTCTGTGCAACACTTTGGAACCAATAACACCCTGTATTCCTTTCCCAGCGATAGAAACACAAACCTTTTTGATTTGGTGGCACCAATCATTAAAGTCCTCCTCTGTGTGGCAGAAGAAGCCCTGTAAAAAGAAATTATCTTTACAGAATGACCAGGACTGTGAGCAGTTACAACAACTAACTGCCCTGCTTTGAGATGTGGCTTACAGTGCCCTGTTAAACTGAGTGCTCCCCACAGGCTTATCGGAGTCAGAGCGTTCAAGTGCTGATCAATGCAATGATCTGCTCCGCTGCACAAGGAAAATGACAGAAACAACCCATGTGGAAACCAAGGGCAGTCATCTCAGGTTCAACAGAATACAAATCACACTGTATCAGAAGTATGATCTGTGTGATCAGAAGTGGATTCAGGTCTGCCCCTTAGAAGACAGGAATCAAAGCTAAACTAGACTCTAGGGAAAGAGAATGCCCCACTAGAGAAAGCATTTAATCACTCCACAAGCAGGATCTCTCTACCAAGCTCCTACCTCAAGGAGAAGCTTCTTTAAACAACATTACTGCAATTGAAACACGCTTGCCCAGAGCACAGCCTGCCTGGAGACCATCCAACCTATCACCTCAGCCAGGTCCCTGTCAAACAAGGACCTGCTATTTGTGAGCTGGGCAGAAAACAAGCAGCAGGAACGCACCACTGCAATGGAGGGGTCGAGCTCAGCGATGCTCATTCTGCAGGGAGGGTGCTGGCAGTGGAAGCTTTCATCGGGGAGACAGCCACTGTCACTGGGCTCCACTGCAGGCTGTGTGGTGTGGGGATCCAGGTAAATGAGCTCCTCACCTGGACAGACAGGCAACGAGACATCAACAGGAAGAACCAAGCCAGAAGTTGCTTTTCTGAGAAGCAAATAGTGAGATAAAAAAGAAGGGGGAAGAGCAATAATTGAGCCAGCTCCTGAAATCCCAAGGAGGAACCTATCATTTACTCAGGGCATTTTGCTTTTGGCCACTCCTGCAATACTTCTCATCCATACAAAGAGCCAGCATGAGCAGAACCATGGCACCCACTCCATCTGTGTTCAAGGCACATGCACTATGTGGGCACTGCAGGCTCTGTTCATGCCTTCCAGGGTCCTATGTAAGCTCAAGAGAGCTTTGGAAATCCAAAGCACAGTTTTAGGTCTCAATATCAGAGGGAAGGAAGAGAGGACAATGATTTGTAGGGTTTCAGAAAGGGAAGAACTGAAAGGCAGGTAAATACACAGTCAAATCCCTGGAGGGAGGTCAGCTCTGAACCTAGCTAGAGCCTGTGCGCACATCATTACAGACAGGATCTGGCATTAGAAGTGTGCAGCCTGTACTGTTGCCCCTGTTCAAAGGTACATCACTCAGATTTCTCGCAGGGTTTCAGCTTGCAGCAGCCTTCCACATTTCCAGCAGGAAAAAATGAAACCTGTAGCACACGCTACAGGCCAAGCAGGAGAGCTCTACTGCTCCACAAACATTTTTTTAGCTGTGGGGAGATGCTTGGAAAGTCTTTGCAGTACTCTGGGCACTCACCTACATAACCAATGAAGTAGTGAGCACTGTTTGGTTTGCCTCCGATCACTCCGAGGGACTGGGGCATCATGAAGCAGTGCTGGAAAAGCAATACAGAAAACACACAGCTGACAGACAGTGAGACAGCAAGTGGAAACAAGGGCAAACATCTGAAAACATAGCAGGGAAAAAAAAAAAGACCGGGACACTGAAAAAACCAGCAGTTGTAACAGCAGAAACAGTCATTTCTGGAGAAAAGCTCCATCACAAAGGCTGCAACAAGGCCTTGAAGGAGCACAACAGCAACTCAAAAACACCTTTAACTGCTGATAGCAACACACAGGTGGACCAAAGGAAAATGGCAGCACTACTCTATAACTCCCTCTGGGCAAGTTCCAGCTATGCCTCCATTCAGTGACAAGATCCTTGAAATTGTCATATTGCAACAGGGCTTTCAGGAGGGAGCCATCACTCAGGAAACAGTCCATGTTCCTTATCCAGTTGCAGTATCCAAGAACTGCCTACTGCGTGATGGGAAAGCAGCCCACTCTGCACGCAGAGCTCTCTTACCTGTACAGCTCAGCCATTGCCACCTTTAGCACAGCAAGTTAATGTGCATCCTCTCTCACACGTGTACTCTGCACACCATAAGGTCTGCAACTTCCCCTTGCACAGGGCAACCACCAGCCTGCTTCTACCCTCAGCCTGCAGCACAAGCTCCAGCTCAGAGCCACAGGGAGAGTCTGCAACACCATGCTTACTGAGGCGCAGGACAGCTGTGCTGAACAAGCTCTTCAGCAGTGGGGTACCATCACACCAACAGGGACTAAGATTAAGTTATGAAATGAATATTGAAAAAAAAGCTCCTGAAACAATAAACGCAACACTTTCCTGACAAAAACCCATAGAATCCATGTCCTGACCTCTGAAAATGGTCGTCTCTAAATATGTTTTTCTTCCAGAAGCAACTTAATTCACAGCAGGGTCTTTAAGCATCAGAATATCAACAGTCAGCTTCAGATCCCCTACCTTTAGTGTTTCAATATAGGCTTCATTGATCTCTGTGAGCCCAAGGCGGAGAGGTATCAGCAGCACCAATGGTTTCCACAGTGAGAGCTTATCTCTAACCCCTGCTTCCTCTGGGTACCCATTATAGAGCACGTCTGCCTCTACAGCAGGGCATGCTGCAGCTCCAGCACAGGAGAAGTTGGACTGGCACAACCGCCCTACGAAAAGGGAACATGAGCAGAAAACATCAGAAAAACCTCAGTTTCTAAACCTCTCATAATCCTGTTCTAGCTCTGATCAACAACTGCTATTTTCCAAAAGCCTACAGCACTTAAAAACAAAAAGTTAACGAGGTCCACCACTGTGATCCCGTGCTGCGCCCCTTGCAGGGCTTCTGGACAAGCTCAGCATTTCATCTCTTACATCAGGATTGTGCCAAAGCGTGCTGTACTCCCAGCCACCATCTGCTGGGCCATTAAAATGCAAGTTCTCCCTGCAGATGAACACTGAGCAACAACCTGTGTCAACACAGGTGGACGACTTGCTTGGGACATAAGGCATAAATCCGGAATTCAGAGTGCATCTAGACAGGGTGGGTGGGAAACAAAACAACCCATGTGTTTAATTCTAGGGAAGTACTGAGGCCATTTAGGCCAGTTGAACTGAATGAGGAAAATATCATGGCTTAATAAGGAAATCACCTGTAACGAGCACTGCAACAGGATATAAACATGGTATCTGCTTTGAGTAATTGTAATTTTCCTAAGCTTCACTAAAACTTTTACACATTCTGCAGGGATCATTCAGGAGTTAGATGAGAGACCCCAAATGAGTGATCAGTAAAATCTGCAATTTTAGCATGAGCTTTGCCTGTAAGATGTGGAGTGGTGCAAATCCCCAGGGCATGCCCATGACAAACACTGTGCATCCTCACTCTAAAGGCTTGGTGAAGAGACAGGCAGCCTGGAATGTAACCAGATTATGCAGATTCTGATACAGGACCATCCCCAGGCCTACTTGTCTCACAAGCTAATTTCATTACTTGCTGGGTGAGTGCATGCATGTAAAGAAATGAAACAAAACCAGAAAAACTCACAGCATTTCAATCATTAATTCAAGGCAATTAGACAAAATGCCAGAGGCTCATTTAATTTATTCTTGGTCTAACCTGAATACCAGGAGAATCTGGCAGGTAGGACACGATGTAAACAAGCACCTTCATCACAACAATTACAACAGGATGCTTGCTCACTGCTACAGGCTTCAAATGCAGCTGAACAAGGAGAATGTTACCTCCAAGGTCACAATAAGGAGGATTCTGAGCTAAAGCCTCAGTGAGAGAGAGAAGCTGCACTGAAGTTTGCAATTGCTCCCTATATTGTCCCTTTCTAAGGGAAGATGTGTCTGTATGCAGCCTATGAGCACGTTCCCAAAACAACAGACAGACTGAGAAGGCTCTCGTGGCTGTTTTCACTGCTGCAGAGAAAGGTTATTTCCTACTCACCTCAGGCTGAGCAGTATCAGTGACTGAATTTAACAGATGTATGAACCAGCAGTAACTTTTGAACATTTCACTATTGACAGATGCTTGGGGCACAAGATAGAAAACAGGCACCTACAGATACATAATGTCAGACCCACTCATACAGAGACTTCCAGCTCCAGAACAGGAGGCACATCACGATTCAGCTGAGGAAAACAAACACCACCCTACACATCACAGGCTCTATTGGACACGGTACTTGAAGTGGTGTCAGTGCTTAACACAAGCCACACAGAAATGAGCTGCAACATACCCAAGCCATGCATCCAGCACACCTCAGTTCTAGAGGGAATATTTTCAGGCTAAAGGCGAAAGATAAATCCAGCTCCTGTCTTTATGCTGACCTTTGTTCAGCCCAAGAACATCAGCACATATCTAGGACTGCTTATACTTAAGGTTAGACAGCACTTCTCAGTCGAACTACCTGCTAAGACACTTTGCTGTTCTGCACTGTAGGGACGAGTCCTTGTCTGTTAATTGATTTTGGCTCCACAGCAGCCAAAGTCAATCTATCTGACAGCTGCCACAATCTCACAAGTAACGGCACCAGCTCAAGCATTCTCTGGATTGTTCTGTGTGCTGTTTCAGAATACTATTCCAGCAGAAAACATGGAATGGTTTTTTGCTGTGTAAGCACATCGCCTCTCGAGCCTAAACCAACAACAGGGGAAGGCTTGTGCAGCCAGGACAACAAAGGACTGCAGCAAACAGCCATTCCATCACTCACTGCTGTTACTGGGGCACTGCAGCCTGAGCAAGCACGCTAGGGATGAACACACTGCACAGCTGCTCAGCCTCCACAGGCACCCAGTTGTCAGAATGCAACAAACAAACAAACAAAGGAAAAAGAAACGAGCGAGCACTCCTTTAAAAGGACATCTTCAAAAGATGTCTCCAGAGATGTCCCTTCATTCCCCATTTTTCATTTTTCCTGTTTGTTCTCATTTTCTTATTCTGCTTAGTAGCAGAGACATTCCTACCCCACTATATGGGTAAGGAAGCAGCCATGTGCCACGTCCTACTGGTGGCCACAAACAGTTTGTCACTACCTTCCAAGCAGCTCCCACCTATTGCCTGAAAGTCAGCAGTTCCTTCTTTCCAGATCCACAGGCCATAATGCCAAGTCTGAGGTTTATCAGACAAAGCAAAAGCGAAACAAGGAGCTTCCTTGCCCTGGAAAAGCAAGTCTCATCCAGGTGTAGCACACTTAGCCACAGCTTTAAAACGGAATATTTACTGCATGCTTCTAGTGTTGTATGACCACATGCTTTCCAGTTGTTTTCTGGCTTCTTGCTGTTGCAGGATACATTATGTTCTACCCACACATAGTACTTACTGATCTCTTCCATCACAACAGTGTTATCCATGGCTATATGTACTGCCAGTGAACTCCATGTATCAAAAGTGGCAAGCTTTCTATAGGAAAAAGAAGAATAAACGGATTTCAAATACAAGATACAATCTCTAACTCAAGTCCCATTAGCATAATTTAGCATAAGGAAAAAAATATAGCATAAGAAAAAAATAAATAACTAAAAATTCATTTAAAAAAAAATTACTAGTGTCTCCTAAGGTATCTCCCCATCACCTACAGACATGTTGGGCTAAATGGGCATATGTGATTACCTATTCATGGAGCTCCTGACAAACCTAGTCGAGGAATTGAGGAAAGGATGGTGACAGGAGGATGTTTAGAATGTTCTGAACACGCTGGATGTCTCAAATAAACAGTCCTGATCCTCTGTTGTCACTATGGAACCCAGGCAGCAAATACTTAAACTTTCCTCTTCTATGCAGTTGTGACTCAGTGGCTCATTGGCAGCCTTTTGACAACAATGACAATCAGGATGTCAGCAGAGATCCAAACAACAGCAATGATCATCTACTCTGACAGCTGCTTCTGGTCTGCTGCAAAGAGCACTGCACTACTCTGTTCTACAAGTGAGTGCTGTGGAAAGGAAAGGGATTGCCAGGGGGGCTTCCTCAATTTGAAATCAGTTTTCTGTCACATCCTGCTACCTTCTGAATAAAAGAAGGGCTCCTTTCAAGTTCACACCGATCAAGTCAATAAGGTCAAGTAACTGCCTGCTAACAGCATTAAGACATACACAGTTGCACTTCATCCAGTGGGCAGAGACCTGTGAAGGAGGGGGTAATACAAACCCACTGGTTTGTTTGAAAGAAATAAAGGAAAAATTCAGCACTTACTTAAGCACTTGTGCAACTGTGTTTGGTCCATACCACTGACCGATGGATTTCCCCTCTCCAACTCCCATCTGGGCTGCATGACAAGAAAAAATAATTTAGCAAAGAATTTCACCTACATTGTGCTCCTTCCTAGCCAGGATTTTTACCTAATGGAGAAGAGATCTCACTTGGAAACACTCTGGAGTCAACAGAACCTAACCTCTCATGGGTTACTGTGCTGTTGATGGAAGAGACAAGTATATCCTCAAAGATTGTAAAGCAAATCTCTTCCCAGAGAGGGAACACAGAAGTCCAAATGGCAGTGTTACCTCAGGAGAAAAACCATTCTTAGTGTGTGATTATGAATAACACCCGTTACCTGACGTTTTATTCACTGTAGATGAAGCTATAGGTATCTTAACACTTCACAGAAAATATTAAAGCAGGCTTTCTTTTTCTTTTGCCAGGGAAATTTATATTGAAGCGAGTTCCTTCCTTAGCTTAACTGCTACTTCTGAAAATGCCTTCATCCAGCAGTCTTCCCACATTACAAGGTCTGGGTGAGAACAGCAGCCACATGCTTTTCTCTCACCTTGGCTAAATAGGATACAGAAACTGATGCTGAATATAACCTAAAGCATTACACAAACTTGAAGGTCTGAATGAAGCCAAGAAGGAAAATCCCTCATAATAAAGAATGGTAGTTTCAGATTAGATCAGAAAATAGGCACTGTGTCAGAAAATAACCCGCTTGGTTTTTCAGCTAAGCTACAGAAATGAACACAAAATGGTCTTTGCTCACAGGAAACTCAGATATTCCCCCACATTTCTCAGCACCCAGCATCCTTACCTATCTGGTGAATGGAGTAGTAGCTGTCCTTTTTGTCTATGAAGGCATTAAGAACACTGAAGTAATTATCTGTCTGCCTCTTGCCTTTTATCCACCTCCAGTCTAAAACAAACAAAGGGGGTACGTGAAACAGAATGTGATCTTTATTAGCAAGCTACCATCTCTCTTCCCTTTGCACCAACCACTGACCAGATTTTCAGGTCACTGTTACTACCAAGCATCTGAAGCATTCCCAACATCAAACCATGAATTTCAATAGGAAAAAAAAAAGAAACAAAAAAAAACTTTTTCACAGCTGAGATAAAAGAATATCACACACAGAAAAAGAATCAGAAAACAAATTCTACCTCTACCCCACAAATGAAAAATAAGATGTTAATTTCCCATAGACAGGCATTCTGAAGAAAACCAGGAGACCTCATTACTTTTGAATTTCTGGGAAATTATGTTTGTAATCAACAACCACAAAAGAAATCCAATACAGACCAAGTATGGTTCAAGTGCAAGAGCAGAAGTTTCCAGGCAGAAGAGACTAGGCACAAAGAGAGGACTTCCTGACAAGTTAAAACCAAGCTACTTACAAGTAAGTATGTTCTTTTGGTAGGACTTTTTAAACTTCAAGTATGTAAAAAAGCCCTTCAAGAAAAGCTTAGCACTTGTTTGGTGTCAGTGGATTTAGCTAGCATGTTACAGGACTCTCCTTTTCTTACAGCTTGAACAAGCACATTCAACTATGTAGAGCTGCAGACAGCTGCAGGAAGAAACCTACTGGAAAGTTTCCAGTAAAGTTTTCACACATCAGCCCTGAACTTGAGAAAACTCAGGGAAAAGCTACCGAGCCCTCAGCAATTCCCAGCTGCTACCCTTAGAAGCACTGCACTGGTGTGAGCACACGGCCATGGAAGTCAGTTCTCTGGTTTACCTCTTCCCAAATGCCTGCAGACCAAGGCCTGAGCAAAGATCATCTGGCCACAGCGCAGCATGCAGCCCCAGCCTGTATCAGATGTGGGACCAGTTCCTCCTGGAAACAAGGACACAAAGCAAGTATGTAAGGAATGGAACAACACGGCCAAGGCAGAAAAAAGGAAAGCGCTGTGAGCCTGCATGGGTAGCAGAATTATCCAAGAAATCGGGCAAGGAATAAAGGCTATGCTAGCTCACAAAGCCAAAGCTGAGAAATCAAAACACTGTTACCAGCAACTAGCCTAATAGCATCCCTTACAAACAAATCTTTAACATTAAATGATGGGGAAAAAAAAAAAACAACTTCAAAGGAAATTCAAGCAACTCAGCTTGAAAGACAGCTGAATTTCTCATGAGCATAGCAGCCTTTGAGTCTACTTGCAGATTCTCAACCTAATTCAGAGACATTCCGAAACAGAGGTGCTTGTGACAGACCACTTGTTGGAATGCTCATTTTAAGAAGGGAGCTCATTATGCAAGACTAATCAGTCATAAGGAATTCCCACATCACAAGCAGATGATGACTGGATGAGAGTCCACCGTGCACATAGGGTTAGATTAAAAAAAGTGAAAAAATCTTCCAGCAGCAGCAAGAGCAACAAATGTCCTCCATAACACTGGAGAATGAGCTGGATGTTAACTCTCACTGGAAAACCTGAGAACAAAGACTTGTAACACACAGAATTCCAAAGCAAACTGCTGTTTCTTCAGTGAAGGTCTGGCTGTTGTTCAGGCTTCAGAGCTGAAATGTTCAGTGTGGCCACAGCTAGTGAGCTGACTCACAGGCACCAAGTCAGCTGCACCTTAGCACGGCTGGTAAAAGTAGTTGGTCTGTATTGCTGCTGCTTTCTATTTTTGAAAGAAAGATACACATAATATCTTAAGAAGTCTGCCCTCAAGTTCACTGTGAGACACTCCTTAAGTTACTAAACGTCCTGTGTGTTACATTCCCTTCAAGCTCTACAAAACAACCAACCCAAACCCTCACATATTCTAGAAAAGATGCATGAAAGCAGGAATTTCTGTACTGTATCTCCAGCTTTTAACCTTAACCTTTAACCTTCAGCCCAAGCCATCATTAAATAATATTTTTCTTTAGACTTCTGTAGGATCCAATCAGCACGAATCACCAAAAATTGCTCTGATAACTAACGTGGTTAATTCAGGAAGTTTTCCTATGAAATTGATATCAGCACAAGATTCCTCCACAAGTCCTAAATTACTTTCTAAAAGTTATCACTGCTCTGCACTGGAAGAACAGGTGACTACTTTAGAAATTGGAATCTGGTGATTTTTCCTCTGCACTGTCAAAAGCCACAAACGTATTCACGTTATTGGCTCATCTTTTGAATCCACTTTTGTTTTTAATGCCACTCATGCCTTATCCTTTATCACCCAAGAGTATTTTCTGAATTGTGAAACAGTTTTACAGAGCAAACAGCTGCCTGGTGCAACTGACATCTAAGGACTTTTAGGAACCTGCACACTAAGGAAATAGCTGACCTCATTCAACGTACTGAAAAACAAACAGCCCTTCTGCCTTGAAGAAGTCAACCCACTGCTCTCTGATTCAAGGGTGGCATTTACAACAGGAGAGCTTATAGACAGACATTCAAAACAGTCAGGAGTCAGAGAACTATTTTCTCCTTATCCTTTCTGTGAAAGTGAAGCAAAACTTGGCTTAATATTTCAAAATCAGCGATCACCTGCATGTCCCACACTTCGATAGCCTAATCCACATTCAGTTCCAATTGGAGATTGTTCTCTAACCCAAATGAAGCCACTGAAAATTTCCCACTGGGTTGGACTTTATTAGGAGTGAGCCAACATCACTTCCAGGATGCATTCAGACTTACCAATGGCAGGGAAGTTCTTTCTGTAGGTGAACCACAGCCGAGAGGTCACATCCAACAGGATCTCTTCTTTCTCTGAAAGTTTTAAGAGAGAAAGGCATGCACAAAGATGGCACCAAGCACTCCTAAACCCATCTCCCACCCATCCTTCTCCTTAACAGTGTCCTGCTCTGCACACAGCCTGCTGGCCCAGACAGACAAAATCTGCATGGAGAATGCAAAAGTGCCACAAGGCAAAAGAAACTCTTTCCCTTAAAAAAAAGCTACAACCAATCACAAACACCATGGTCACAGGTAAACTGTGAAGCAGTAAACAATTTTTCTTGCCTTTCCCCTGAGCTATCCATTTGCCAGTAACTACTAAATGGTAACTTTCTGTGCAGAGATATTCTGGAGTCTACAGAGATGGCCAGACAGAAGGAAGCATAGAAGTTATCATCTGCATGCTTTGACAGCATATAGGCTCTGCTCTGTGCTTGCAAGGTCTGCAGTCACCTAGCTGCACATAAACCATGTAACACTAACAGAATCCTCTGCAGTGTCATAGCATCGTGCATGCAAAATACCTGTAAAAACACTGTATTTCCTGCCTAGGATCCAAACAGGCTCTTTGGTCTCAGGGAAGTCTTCATATTCAAACCTGAGAGTGTCATAGGTAAGAGTAGCTGGAATAGAAAGAAAGAAACGTAAGTATCATTCATTGTTTTTTCCTTGCTGTTCAAAAATCAAACCAAAACAGTACTGCAGAACTGGTGCTGTGACACCATAACTCACCCTCAGAGCAACCAGTAAGAAACAGTTTGGCTCCCACTGCAGTCACAAACTGTAAGGAACAGGGAACCCATGCACCCACAGCTCTTGCCTGCTGCTCCACAAGCAAGGAAACAGAGGAGCTTCCAGGTTAGATCAGCTCCACGTTTGGCCCAGTAAAAACTGAGTGGGTCAAGAAAACGTCAAGGACTTCAGCCAGCAACTGCAGTGCTTCTCAGCACAGCTATCACTGTGCAAACACTAGCAGTCATCAGCTACAGCACTGCGGTCCTCTTTTCAAGGGAGCAGAGCAACTGAGATGCTTCTTCCTGAGAACACAGCTTTTGGTGGTGAAATATGAGAAATGCAGACTGCATTAAGCTGGAAACCAAACCTCGCTCCTCAAGTCAGTCCATCCTCAGAGGCCACGAGCTGAAGCACAAGCCATGGCCTGTCCAAAGCAGTCTGCAGCTCAAGGAGGTCATGCTAAAAGCGAGGAATGCAAATAAGTGCAGAGGTTTGAACTTCCACGAGACAGACACACCTTGTGTCTGCTTTATTCTTGCTCCCTTCACAATCAGCACCCAAATATCCATCTCTTCTTACACCACTGCTCAGCATTGATCGCTGCACTCTGCAGAATGCACACAGCACAGGCTGCTGCTTGATGCCCTTGGATCAGGGCAGCTTAAGCCTTGTACAAAAGGACGGGGGGGGGAAGATGAGCTGGATGTGCTGTGCTCCACTAGGTCTGTATTTGGGAAATCTTGGAAGTGAACCTCAGGGGGTGGAGGAGGCTGACTTTAAATCACTTGAAGGTTAAGAATTGTACCCAATTTCAATTCTACAACAAGCTGCAAGTTAAATTTAAAACAAAGCTATGTTAGCAGTTCTGCAACTGTTAAAGCAAATAGTTCTAATACCAAACCCACTAAAATCTGTGGCCATTTGGCCTGGGGTTAAAACAGGGAGACAGACTACACGACCACAAGTTCCACTCATTCCCACCTCCTGCAAAAGCCACCAGCCATGCTGCACACCTCACTGCTGCCCACAAGTTCACCTGCCATCGGACCAGATGCCACCACGCTCACAAACAGGTGTGCACAGAAGATGAGTCTCTCTCTCCCAGCTGCTCCTCACTTGGCTTTCCAAAATCACCATCTGGAGCTCCAGTAAATGATGACCTGGCTGATTTGCATTTCATAAATGAGAGCTCCAGAAAGGCTCTGCCCCTCCTCTTTCCAGGCACCCTGGATTAAGATGCTACACCCATGAAAACAAGCTGTGCAAGACATTCTGGCTCCTGCAAGTACCTCATCGGCCTTCTGCCTCTGGGCTCTCTCAACTGGAAGCCAGTTCCTGTGCTAGAAGGAACCCATAAGCAACAGCAGGACATCACCACTCAGACCAGCTCCCATGTAAGCAGCAGCCCTGGAAACACAAACGCAGAGTGGGCTCCTAAACCAAATTCTGAACTATGCTCTGGCCCTAGCCCAGGCATGAAGCAATCCAAGCAATTCTGTTCACACAGAAAAGTGGGAGCAAAGTAACACAATCTTTTTCACTGCTAAATGTTGTCAGGGGAAATTAAGAATGGTTTTATGTGTAGTAGCCAAACTTGACAAATCTCCAACAGTCCACATGCTGTGCCTACCGTAATAGCTTGACTTGTTCTGCTCTCTTCTTGCTCAGTGCTGACATCCTTCCACTCAACTACAACTTCTGCAAACGCTTTCAAGTGTGCATCGCTTTCTGTTTGCTCCTTTGAATTTCACAAATTCCTCTTACAGATGTGACATTACTACACAGGAAGGGACCAGCAATTGCCCAAGCGGCTTCCAGGCTGCCTGCTGGGTCAGCTCACGTGCAGGGCATGCAAACTGCAAGTACTACAACACCAAACACTTGGGAGACTTGTGCAAAAGACAGGTCCCACACTTGCAGCCCTACAGCTGAATGCCTTATCTCAGGGGCTCTGTGCACAAGTCTGGCAGGTCCAGCTGCACACCTAAACTACACAGGCAGGCTTTAGCGCATACGGAGTTTTGCCTTTTTAATTAAAGAAAACACTCTCCATCATCTGACAGGTTAAGTGCAGGGGCTAAAATCTCACCATCACAGGGAAAAAAGAATAAGTCAAATTAATGCTCCTAGTTCAGGTTAAGAACGTTTGAACAGAACAACAAACCCCCAGCAGACTGAAGGCAGTGTCTGCATGCTCCCCTCACAAATATCCACCTTCACAACCTTTGGTGCTTTTCCAGAATGACATCCATCGTGCTGTTGCTCAGAGGAGCTCCAGATTTCAGCAGGCAGGCCCAAAGTAATTCAGGTAAGAGCACAGGGACCTGCGTGGTTAGAAGCAAAGGGCCCGTCCATAAATATCACCAGGAGTTCACCAAGCAGAAATCCTCTTTGAAGATGCTCTTCTCACAGCTGCAGAAGTCAGGTGAGATCAGCAATTTTTCTCAGGCAGTGATCCAAAACTTCACCTTCAAGGAGCCCTCGATCTGTTTTCAAGGCTGACCTCTGCGCATCCAGGACGGCAGAGCAGCAGCCTCTGCAGGAGATGCACATACACACACATCTGAACAACCGCTCAGCTTCCACCAGCATACACTGGATTTGAAGTTAAAGGGGTGAAAGTCTGAGGCACGCAGAGCACGCCGTCAGAAAGGCAGCTTCTCCTTCCAGGAGTGTCGGACACACTTAGAGCGATGCAGCAGTGGTTGGACCTCTGCCCCACAGGCACACCTTGCGTGGGATTTGCTGGAGCATCCCAAAGCCCTGATGGAGAAGGCAAAGCCTTCCACGTGCCAAACTTTCACTACTTTAGCAAAACAAGAACTGCTTTTCTGTCAACTTCATGAAACAAAGGAGTCTAAACATCGATGACTCAAGAGAATTTCCTTATGCTTTACACAGCAAAAGGGCTGATCTTTGCTCCAGCACAAATCATCTCAACCGTAGTTTGCATGCACAGCTTGAAAGCTCTGTCAACTCTTTTTTTTTTTTCTTCCTTCCTCTTTACATAAAAAATGTGGAAATAAAGATCTGGGATGCCAGATGAAGGAAAACCAGGCTTTACAATATGTCACTCTCCAAATTCTTTCTAGAGCATCCCCATCTTTGGCAGGGCTCCTCTCCCCAGCACAGGAACAAATGCTCCTCGGGCAGCAACAGCTCAGGGGTGCTTTCCCCAAGTCCTGCAGCCCCAGTGAACACCAGCAAAAGTATTGGGAATGAAACAGATGGTCACCCCTCAAGGCTAACAAAAGTACATCAAAAGGGAATCAGAGTGGAGAGGATGAAAGCTGCTGCCAGATGCAGGACGTTTCTGAGGGTCAAGAAGGTAAATCTACTGTACTAGAGAAGTTCAAAGCTGAAAAATGCTTGGAAAGCAGATGGCTGAAGAACAGCCTGAACGTTTACTTCTGGCCTTTGCAGAAGAGAGATTTAAGTCCCTCCTTTTCCCTAAGCGCTCTCAGACAAGACAAATCCCAATTATTTGAGCAAAAACAAGGAGTTAAGGCATGGTGAGGCTGAGCAGTTCGAAGCCTGCCAGCCTGTCACTGGGCCACAGGGCTCCAGTGCTCCATACTTCACAGCCCGAGACAAGCCCTGCAGAGGAGGAGATGCAGCAGAGGGAAGCCCTGCTATCACAGCACGTTTTTTTCTTCCCTTGATAAGCCTTGCTGTGCTTACATAAAGGGCAAACAAATACGCCCGCTGGCTCTGCTTGTGTTGTTTCACTTGTCAGAACACGCACAGTTCCCAGGTGTGAGACGTTGATGTGACAGCACACAAGGACATGCTGGCACAAAGCAGGGACTCTATCAGCCCCACTGGAGCTCAGCATCGAGGCCGTGGACAAATGCTGTGAGCAGCGTGGCCCCCGGGAGCGCAGCCCCACGCAGATGCCTGCCCAGCAGGTAGGAGGCATAGGAGACGCTGTTATCACAGAGCACTGCTTATCTCTGCACAGGGCAAGGGCAGGCTGGTGCTGGGCATGGCTAGCGGGAAACCTGCTGCAATCCGAGTGCCAGCTTGTTTTCCTGTGGGAAAGCAAGAGCTCCATCATGAGCAGCTCTGCTGGTACGATGGGAAGAGATGAGGGCCAGACAGGAGAAGCGGGCAAAGGTAAGACCAAGTTATGACAGAACATCCCAAACTGAACCCACAAGGATGACTGAGGCCAACCCGTGGCCCCACGCAGCACCACCCAAACCCGATGTCTCACAGCGGTGTCCCAGCACTCCCTGAGCTCTGGCACCAGGGCCGTGCCCGCTGGAGCTGTGCCGTGCCCACCGCCCCGTGCTGCACAACCTCTCCCTGCCCCCAGCCGCCCCTCCCCAACGCAGCTCCACGCCGTTCCCTCAGCGCACAGCTCGGCGCTGCCCATCCGCTCCCGGTGAGGAGCTGCAGCCGCCACGAGGGCTCCGCTCTGCTCCCACGCTCCGGGCCGAACAAACCACGGCCCTCAGAGCCCCTGGCAGCCCGCAGACCCCTCCCCATCCCCGCAGCCCTGCGCTGTCCCGGCCCCGACCAGCGGCAGCCGAATGCAGACACGGAGGCGCTGGGGTTCCGCTCGCTCCGCACTGACAAAAGCCCGAACCTCAGCCGAGCGGGGCCGGGCGGCCCTTCGTGCTCCGACAAACGCCGCTCTCAAGGCCGCAGCTGGCAGAGCCGAGGCCCCCGCAGGGCGAGGCCTTCCTCCCGCAGCGCTCGGCCCTCCTCCCGCGGGAGGCGCGACCGCCGGACCGCCGCGGGCCGTGCCGAGGCACGGGAAGGAGCGGCGGCTCTACACCCACCTGCGTCCATGGCGGCGGCCCCGCCGAGGGCTGAACCCGCCGCCAGCCCCGCCGAGACATACGCCCCGGCGCAACCCAACCCGCTGCCACCGCCGCCGGCGCCCCGCTCGCCCAATGGCAGCGCGTCTCGCCGCCGGCCCGCGCGGCGATTGGCTGTCTTCTCGAGCTCGGGTGCGCCGCAGCACGCTCTGGGGGCCGCCATGTCGTCGTACGGAACGCTGCGGCGGAGCGCGGAGAGGCGCCGGGTCGGCGGCGGAAAGGCGGGGCCGCGGGAGGCCGAGCGGCGGCGGCGGCGACGGCGCGCGAGCGGTCCGGTGGCACCGCCCATGGGAGCCGCCCGCCGGGAGTACGCCCCGAGGAACTCCGGCGGCCGGGCGCGGCCATCGTGCTGTACGGAGGCCGCGGGGCCCCGCCCCTCCACCCCCGGGAAGGCAGCTCCCGATCGCCTCGGACAAGCTGGTGGCGGCCCGAGCCGCTCGTCGGGAGGCGGACGGCCGGCAGCGAGGAAGAGGCAAGCGAGCGGGGCGGGGAGCCGCCCTCCTTCGGCGGCCGCGTCGCGCGGCGGCCCCTCGGCCAAAATGGCGGCGGCCACACGGCGGCCGCCATGACGGCTGACGGCAGCGCCGTACAGAAACCCCTTCCCCAGGGCGGAGGGGCGGCGGGGTGACCTGGCTCCGCCATCTTGCTGTACGGCGGGCGGCCGGGCCGGGCCGGGCCGGCGGGGGGGCTGGGGCGGGCCCGGCCGCGGCCGGAGATGGTGATCTGCTGCGCCGCCGCCAACTGCTCCAACCGGCAGGGCAAGGCGCTGCGCGGCGCCGTCTCCTTCCACAGGTGAGTGCGGCCCCGCAGGTGCCGGGCCGGGGGCTGACAGCGAGGCCTCGCCTCGGCCCCTCCGGGCGGCTCGGGGCCTGGGTTGCCGGGCTCGCCCCGCTGCCGCGCTCACGCTTTTCTCCTCCTTCGGTAGGTTCCCTCTGAAGGACTCGAAACGCCTGATTCAGTGGCTGAAGGCTGTTCAGAGGGACAACTGGACGCCCACCAAGTACTCGTTCCTCTGCAGCGAGCACTTCACCAAGGACAGCTTCTCGCGGCGGCTGGAGGACCAGCACCGGCTGCTGAAGCCCACCGCCGTCCCCACCATCTTCCAGCTCGCGGAGAAGAAGCGCGACAACCTGGATTATGTCAGGAGCAGAAGGAAAATAGCCAGCCAGGTCCCGCTGCAGGATGGGGAGGGCCCGAGGGAAGGAGGCTGTGAGGTAGTCCAGAGGACCTCATCTCCTGAGCAGGACCTTATGGTGATGCAAGGGACGGACGAGATGGAGGAGGTGACTCTGCAAGCGGAGATCGGGTCGATGTCTGGGGAGGAAGAGCATCTCCATGGGCAGCTGGAAGGCCCCCGGAGAAGGACGTTAGGCGATAGCTTAGTTGCGAAGCCCGGACCTCAGAAAAAGTCCGACAGATCTTCTGCGGAGGACTGTCCTAAAGGCTCCTGGATGGGGAGCTGGGTGGCGGACAGGAGCGGCATATCAGTAGACGATTTCACGCCTCCTGCCTCTGGTGCTTGCAAGTTCATCGGCTCCCTTCACTCCTACAGCTTTTCCTCTAAGCATACCAGAGAGAGGCCGTCTTTCCCAAAAGAGCAGCTAGAAAGGAAAAGGCCAAAGAGAGATGTGGAACCAAGCTGCAGTAGCAATCTCATGGGACACGATAAGACTGTAGCGGAAGACTCCCCTACTTCCTCCCTCACTGCAACCCCTCAGAAACCTTCCCAGAGTTTGTCAGCATCCCCAGCAGACCTGACCCCTCAGCCTGCTGCCGAGGCCGTGGTGGGACGGAAGGGTGACACGGATGCCAACCCCATGTCGATCAACGAGGTCATCATGTCGGCCTCGGGAGCCTGCAAGCTCATCGACTCCCTCCACTCGTACTGTTTCTCCTCCAGGCAGAGCAAAAGCCAAGTGTGCTGCTTGCGTGAACAGGTAGAGAAGAAGAACGGGGAGTTGAAATTGTTGAGGCAGAGGATCAGCCGCTCAGACAGCCAAGTCAGGAAGCTGAAGGAGAAGCTGGATGAGCTGAAGAGGATCAGTATCCCTTACTTGAACAGCCTGCTGTCCCAGGACTGTGGTCAGTATTTTCAGTGTCTTTGCGTTCAGGCAGAATTCTCCATTTCTGAACAACAAGAGGCTGTTTAAGTTAGAGATAAAACAGATGGAGAGCAGGTTAAAGACAGGACAAAGGTGCATTTTTGGAAAGAGAAGTAGTAGCTTGGACTGGGCTGAGAGATGCAGGTAGAAGAGTTAGTTGGGTTTTGGGGCACGTGAGCTACTTCTATCCCCAAAGCCTGTTGTTTTCTTTTTCCCCATCAATGTTGACTGTTCATTCAAAGTTACTACCACACTCTCTAAACTCTGCTGCCCCAAAGTTACAGGGTAGCATGTGTTGTTTTGGTGTGGTTTTCTGAGGTAAAGGGCAAGAAGCAAGTTGTTGGTGTGGAAGACAACTCCTTTGAGGTTGTTTGTTGTTTTAATTTGTTCTATGTGGGTTGTTCTGGTTTGTTCATTTGTTGTGTTACGCTGTATCTTTGGAGGGTGTCTGAAATTTTTCAATGTATCATTGAGCTGCCACGGACAGCCGGTATCTGGGAAAGCTGTCCTAGTCTTTAATGATGCAGAAGTGCTTCTGATTTTGGATTTCACGTGCTCCACTCAGCACTGGGATATAGAAGGCAGAGGCGTCAATTATGATGGTATTGTCACCATGTGGAGGACATTCTTTTTGACTGATGTGCTGGGCTCATTTTGCTCCTTTCCATCTGCAGAAGGCAGAAGTCAGGAAGCAGGTAATAAGAGTGTGAAGACAGAGGAATTAATTCTCTGGCTGTTAAGAATGAATTTGAGACACCTGAAGACAGATGGAAGTTCAGTGAGGGACACAATAGCCTAAAATACAGGTACAGGAGTTGGATCAGGCCTGACCCCTTTCCATTGCAAGAAAAGCTATTTAACATAAATTTTTTGCACACTGACAGAACTTGTACAGTGAGTCTAGTTGCAAGGTATGATTCCAGAGAAAAGTTTTTTGAGGATTTAATGGTATCTGATGTAGTATGGCTGCAGAGAAAAACACAGGGTTACGCTGCGAGAGATGTGTGACTCAGGGTCTTCCTGAAGGAGCAGCCACTCGTGGCTGCCTGAGTGTGTTGGAAATGCTCATCACAGTGATTCTTCCCTCCGTGTCCCTTGTGAGGTTTCTTCTCATCTTCAGAAGCTGCGTGATGTTCGGCACGGTTAGAAATGTGATGCCAGTGCAGGGAGATGTGTTCTGCAGGTCCTTGCAGCACAGCCTGCTTCCTTGCTCAACTGCAAGAAAACAAACCCTAGCTGAAGTCTCAGAGGCTGATACCCAATGTTATTTTCTCCATGTGTTTTTCATTTTCCTGTGTGCAAAACTCGCACTTTGGTTTGGGAAAAAACTGGCTTGCTTTTTTCCCCAGTGTGGGAAGTCAAAGTAGTCTCTGTATTTATGTCTTCTAGTCTATATTTTTATACAGTTTTGTTGTTAGAATACAGAAAATAACAGGATACAGTTTCAGGGTTCTGTAAATATCATTCATAAAGGTGTCTGACCTTTTTGAAATGACTACAGTGAGATGCTAATTGCAGGAAGAACCTGATCAGCAAAGAAGATCCTGAAGCAGGAAGCAGTAAGATTTTGCCCCCTTTCTCATGATAGAAGTTCTTCTGCATAAATTACATACTGGGTTTTCTAAGGCGATGATCACTTCATTAAGAAGTTGACATTTTATGTTATCTATCCTGCTGTCTCTCACCAACAAAGCTGGAGGCTGATATGGCCAATAGTTCCTCGTGGAACCATTCTGCTGGTGACTTCTCAAAGGGTTTGCTGGTGGCTGGCAGGCTTTTGCTTTAGTTTAATCTCGGTGCTCTTCTGCTTTGCCTTGTTTTCCTTGTGCTCGTAGTCCCAGTTTATGGCAGTCCAAATACCTGATTAAGCGCAGCTGAGTGCTGCTGGGCAGAGTCCGCTTTATGTGCAGACACTAAATTGTACTGTGATGCAACGCTGCGTTGAAGAGGGCTTTTTGATATTCATAACAGCTGGGGTAGCAAGTATTAGCTTAATAATAATTATAGTCTTTATTAGTAGCTACATTTCAGCTGACTTAAATCATAGGATGCGTCAACGAGGCGCTGTTAACAGCCATAAACCTGAGCCTGCATCTTTTTTTCCCTGGAGGCTTAAGGATGGGGAGTGTGAAGAGCACAGGCAATGGGGCTGACTCTGCAGGTTGCTGCTGCTTCCGTCCCTACAGCCCTGCTGTTGCTGCCTGGCATCCAGCTGCTGGCCCAAGCTGCAATCCAAGCCCACCTACACTTTTCACAGAGTCTGGTCTGTGGATCTGTTGAGGTTTTGAAGGCTTTCTGGTGTCCCCCAGCACTCTCAGATGGCTTACAGCTTCAAGCTACGTGGGTATGAGGCTGGGCGGCCACTCTTGGTCTGGAAGGCTGGAGAACAGGGCACCACACGTGCGGTATGGTAGGGCAGCGTTACCCAAAGGCACAGGGACACTGCTACTGGCTGTGCCCAAGCAGCACACCAGGCTAGCTGGAAGGGCAGAGTTCTGCAGAGTGCTGCACGCAGCCCCTGCCAACCATGTTTGGGGATCAGGGCCTCAGCGTGGGTGAGTTTTGCTCACAGCGTGCCCAAGCCATCGTGGTGCACGAGTGTGGCATTCCCCAGCTTTTCATAGCAGGGGATCTGCTGAGTGGTTCTGGGGAAAGCCCAGGGCTGTTTCCTGCACAGCTTTTCTACGGATGTCTCCTGTGCTTAACTCTGACTTTGCTTGCTTTTTTGATAGGAAAATGTTTTCTTCTGCTTCATGGGCCACCTCTGATGCCTGTGGACGAATGGCTGAGAAATACTTCAACAGAGCGTGGCTAGGCACAGTGCACCAGGCAGAGCAAGGTCAGGTGCTCCAAAAATCAAGAGGATGTGTGAAGAGAAATTAGGGAGAGACAGAGCAAGCAAAGAACTACAGACCTGGTGAGAACATGGAGTGCAGGGCCAA